GGGCATTCGGGTGCCAGACCCCGTGGACGCTCGGCTCGGGGCCTGCCGTGCCGTGTCGCTCACAGGCCGTCCTTCCTTTGCTTTCATCCTGTTATTCCTCCCTTTTGACTCCTGCAGTCTTAACCGCATTTTGACCCGCGCGGGAAACCTGCTTCCCGGGGCTTTTTAGGAGCGCAGACCGTGCCTGGCCTTGAGCCGTCCTAATTTTGCCCTTTATCCATTTCCTTTTTCCCCAAGAGATCTCCTTTTATTTTTCTCATGTTTTAAATTTTTATTTAATTTTGGTACCGGAATCGAACTCCGGACCTTCCGCTTGCGAGGCAGGCGGCGGCACCACTGAGCTAATCCCCGGCCCGAGATTTCCTTTTAATCCGCAGCAGATTCTTCAGCCAAACCGACACAGGAGCTCGCTTAAGAGTTAAGAGCGGACCCCGTGAGTCGGAACCCCAGCTCGCTTTTACAGCTGCTCAGACAAGACAGTCACTGCCTTGTAGTTTAACTTCTTCCTCAGCTGTAAACTAATAAAAGCACTAAACTCGTGTAGGTTCATACACAGAAGGCACTTGAATCAGTACCTGGCAAGTGACAGCGATCCCTGACCTTTGCCCGGGGTTTTTCTATACTCAACACAAAAAGCCTTGTTTTTCCGGTTACTTCTATTTTAGTGGGAAATATTTATTAATGTTTTTATATCTTTGTCCTTAGATTCAATATTGATTAGTAAATATTTGAGTCACGTTCTCAGTGTATCTGACCTTTTTTTTTCCCTCTTACAAATCAGAAGAGTTCAGAATCAGATGGCATGGCGTTAGTCACCTTGCGGAGAAACTTGTGTCACCTGTCTGATTTTCGGGTATATGGAGCTCTGGTTGCTCTGAGAAGTCTCCCTGTAAATCCCACGAACAAGGTGGTTACAGGGCATCTGCATCCTTGGTTCTCTTCACTGCTGCCTGAGCCTGCCAGGGTGCTGTCCCATCCTGTCTGTGGGAAAAACTTCCATTCAGAAAATGGAAACAACCTTGCCCCACTTGGTGGGCAAAGGTTCCCTCAAGTTCACGACTGGGACGCACTTGACCAGAATTTTAAAAACGAAGGTGAGCAGCTATTTTACAGGAGACTGAACAGCCTCACCTCATGGGAAGAAGTGTTAAGTTTCCTAAGCACACTGGAGATTCTGCCTGTGACTTGGGCTGCGGGAGCTTTACGGCGCATTTGTGAAGTGGAAAAAGGAGACAGTGATCAAAGACTGTCGAAGGAAATACTGGAGAATAGCGCCTTTCAAGCCTTGTGCTTTCAGTTGGAACAGCAGCTGTCACGTCTGTCAAACACTGATTTAGTGACTGCCTTACAAACTCTGAGTCTGTTGCATGTGAATCATCAAAGTAGCCTGGTGCTGAACCTGGTGGCCGAATGCCAGAATCGTCTCCAAGCCGGTGTCCTGGAAGCCTCCAATCTTTGCCTTCTCGGGGAAACTCTGATTGGACTGCAGGATCCGGGCTGTGTGACTCTAGGGCTGATTATACATCAGCTGCAAGGTAAAAAACTGGAAACATTTACCCCAGAGGATGTTGTGGCCATTTACAGAATACTGCAGACCTATTCTGATAAAGTGAACCAGCACCAAACGTTTCTGAACATGATAAACAACTTCTCTCTTTCAGTGGTTTCCTACTTGAGCCCTAAGTCAGTCAGCCAGGTGCTGGCCGCCCTAGTGGTTCTTGATCAAACTCAAGCCCATCCTCTGATTATAAAATTGGGTAGATACGCTGTGCGGCACGTTCCTCATTTCACCAACGAAGAGCTCAGGAAGGTCTTGGAGGCTTTCATATATTTCGGACTCAGTGACAGGTTTTTTACAAAAGCCCTAGAGCAGCTCATAGTCTCACACTGTCTCAGCCTGGATCCTGGAGTTATCAGCAGAGTCATGGAGTACTGCAGTAGAAAACTGATTCTTTCAAAACCTATTTTTAATGCAGTGGCAGAAACTTTTGTCTGCCAATCAGAAAAGTTTTCACCTAGTCAGATTTCTGAATTAATTGAACCATTTGGCAAACTCAATTATTTGCCACCAAACGCCCCTGCTTTCTTTAGAAAGGTAGAAAATGTGCTGTTCACCGATTTCAATCGTTTTCCTCCCAAAATGCTCCTGCAAGTGCTCCATTCCTGTTCCCTTATTGAGTGCCATCCAGTCAACTTCTTGCCAAAAATATTCAGCCCTTTTTTTCTTCAGCAGCTGCAAGGTGAGTTGGCTATTATTTCTGAGTTGGGCAAAAGTAACGTTGTAACTTTTGGTGTTTTCAGCTCACATAGGTACCTTTTACATTGAGCAGATTGTCTGCCCTTCCACAATAATATGGGGAGATCTAAAGTTATAGATGGTGTCATAAACAGAACTAAAAAATGCTAGAATTGTATACAGTTGGAGGAAAGCAGTGTCAGATAAACAGACTCCTGCCAGCTGGGCCCCACAGTGTCCTGTGGGACATGAAGTGACGATGGTGAGAGCCACTCTCACCTTTGGTGAGTGATCAACTATAACCTCTTTAGAAAAGAAAAAAAAGATATCGTTTGTCTTTATTCGGGGCCACTCAACTTGTCACATTTCTGGCTCTCCACAGGTAATATTTCCAATAGTTCCATAAACATGTCACTTTTCCTTATATTCACTAGCTAGGAGCTATGAGTTCTCGAAAGTTTCACTGTTTACAAGAAGAGGGCGTGATTAATTCTAACAAGTTCACTTCCAGTGTCATTTTGAAATTACTTCCGGAGTGAGTAAATTGATGTTCATTCGCGATGTTTGTTTTCTCTGTAAACATTCCACACTTGAAACTGAATGACAGGCTGCTTCTTATTTCAGGTGAAGAGTCATACTTGGACAGATTGAATCTGGCACAGTTGACCCAGCTTTTCCTCACCTCTGTGCTGGAGTGCCCTTTCTATAAGGTAAAAGCGTGACTGTAGCGTGGCTTTGTTTCCCTGTGGAACCACTTTTCTTTTATCCTCTCTGGAATTGTTAGTTTTCTTCACGTTTGGTCTTAGTATCCTTATTAGTAAGCAGGGTACGTATTTATTTGAAGTTAGTTGCCACTGCAAAGTCTTTTCTCTGATAATTGACCTCATTTCTATGATATTGTCCCAGAAGGTCCAACGTCTGCTGCATAGGAACCTTAGAAGGTCTCATCAAGGGCCTCAGGCCTGTGAGTTACAGCATCACACCAGGTTCTCACATTTCATAGCGCTTGGTTCTTACCATAGCTATTATTATCAGGGTACAAACCTGTGACCCAAACAGGTCCTAAATTATTTCTGAGTACATTTTTGAGCCGCACCAGGAATTTCACTGTCACCTGGTGGGGTTGGCTCAGGGGAGTCTGCTCTTCCCTTGTAACATTGTAATGACCTTTCACCTTCCCTGGGCAGGATCAGAAATGGCCTCTGCCGGGCTGTGAGCGTCTGATTTTTGGAGCAAGGCATAAGAATGGGAAAATATTAGTTTCTTTAAGATAGCTTAGACGGCACTGATGCACTTGTCCCCAGCCTCCTTCCAGCCCTGAACAATGCAGTAGCAGTCCAGGGGCAGAGAAATGCACATACACACAAAGATCGTGTGGTTTTTTCACTTTTGATGGGGTAGGATGACTAAACAAAGTACAGTTTGTGTCTGCTCAGTGTATCAGGAACATTCCGGGAGGCCCAGACCTACAGATCAGATTTCTTAAGAGAGGCACGACCCTCCATGGTATTTATTCTGCCATTCCACTGTTAAAAGTACTGCAAGTCTCAAGCGCAAGGACCCGAGTTCCATCCCCGGTACAAAAAAAAAAAGTACTTCAAGGTTCTTCCGCTTCTGTCCCTGTCAGCAGCGCTGTAGGAAGCATCCTTGCATATCTTTTAAAGTGGGACTATTGGGTTCGTTTTGGACAGGTGCTGACAGATCCCCGCTGGCAGGCGTCGGGGTCGCGTCTCTGCCGCAGTTCTGGAGGTAACTGCATCTTCCTGCTTGTACAGCAGTGCCCGCCCCCATCCGCTCAGTGGGAAGGGCTGTGTCGGGCCTCACGTTTCCATTGTGATCTGAAGCCAGGCTCCATGGCCTTCTGCATTTCCATGAGTCATCTTTTTACATTCGACACTTTGGGTTATTTGTCTTCTCGGAAGGACACATTGTAAAAAAAGGTGTTAACTGTCGTGTATGTTGCATATATTTTAACCTGGTTTATAATTCTTTTTTTAAACTTTTGTTTATGACATACAGAAGTTTTTGAGTCTTTTTTAGTCAGGTTTGTCTTTTGTGACTTGGGTTTTCTATCTCAAAAATACTTCACCACTAAATCAATACAAACATTTCACAAAATACTTTGAAATATTTTCCTTATTTAAGTCCTGGAATTTTAAATTTTTAGTTATTGTTTATATATTTTATTTCACTATTTATAAATTTTAATTGATAGTAGGAATTACATATAACCTGTTGATATTGTTCTGAAATAAATCTATATAGCCATTGTGTAACATGTTAACTATTGCACTGTGTAAATAGCATACGCATTATCTCACGCACTTTTTTCTCTTGTACGGATTTTTAAGAACACAATGCACTGTTATGAACTGTGATCACCACCTAATGCCGCCTGGGATTTGTTAGAGTTGGTGATGGATATAGAAGTTGAACTTGATTCTTCTCTACATGGATAATGAGTTTGCCAGCACTGTTTATCGTATCACCGACCTTCCTTCTAAAGTTGAAGTGTAGCCTTTGTCATCCCTCCACTGTTACAAGCTTGAGTTTCTGTACTTCAGGCTTTTGAAGCAACTGTAAGAGTTCCAAAGACGTTTTTAAACTCCGAGCATGCTTACTGTGCTGCTTCTCTCCCTCCCTCCACATCTCCTCACTGTCTCTTCCGGCCTCTTTCTCTTTTCTTTCTGCTTTCCTTACTTCTCTTATGGTGACCAATCACTTCTTTTCAGACATACTTAAAAGACCTTGAAATATATCAAGAATATTTTACACTGCCATTTTGAGAGTGCTGTCTGGCTTAACCCCTGGAAAAATATGGTGCCTATAAAGTGACTTTGTACCAAACTTTTATGTACTGGTACCCTTCAGTTTACTCTCTGGCTTTATATCTTTTTTTATTTTTTCCTCATATTTGCGTGATTGTTTTAGGGTCCGAAACTTTTGCCTAAATATCGAGTGAAGTCATTCCTCACTCCATGCTATTCCCTGGAGACCCCAGTGGATTTTCCGTTCTATAAATCTGTGATGATGGCACTGATTGACCTCTTGGGAAAAAGAATATATTTTGCTTCCAAAGTGTTGACGCCCTACTGCTACACCATAGGTAAGTAGGACCGGGAGTTGGGTGGTTCTGAACAGAAGCGTCTTCTCGTTTGGAGTCATGGGGACTTGGTAGCCACGAAGGCCTCTGGAAATGCAGGATGGAATTGCCCCTTTCTGCAGAGGCAGTCGAGCAGTGGTTACAGCAGGGCTGGAGAGTTCAGACTGAGTTTGAGTCTCACGTGTTAGCCACACAGGAGAAGCTGTGCTAGCACAGCGTTTTAACCTTTTCCTACTTGTTCCTCATCTGTGAAACGAGAGAAAGAAGAATGGAGACATCAAAGATTGAGGGTTGATTAAAAAATAATACTAGGAATGTAGTAAATGCTCAGTGAGTGTTAGCTGCTGTTATAATCTAGGCCTGTGCTGTCCAAACACTGTAGTCTTGAGAGAGTGGCTATTTACAGTTAAAACTCCAAAGTCATTTCCTCAGTCACTCTTAGCCATATTTCAAGTCAGTAGCCACATCCGCGTGGCACGTGGCTGCCAGGTGGGGCTTGGCTCTTCCAAACTTGTGCATTGCAGATGCTTACCGGACTCTTTCTCCCCTTCAGTCCTTTCACATTGATAAGTAAAAGAAAAGCATCTTGTAAACCACAGTAGCTCATAGGCTTCCAGGGCTCCTATCTCACTCCTCTTCCCTGGACTCTTCCAGAAAGAACAACAGTGGGTGGGGCGGTGGGGGCGCTGCGCATGCTTGGACCGCACCTTCACGTTCAGGACGCTCTGCCCTGCCCTGCACTTCATGGTTCGGGTTACACAGGTGTCTGTGCTAACCCTAGAGGTTGGCTTCGCTCTGCATTGAAAAATCTCCACTCAGAAGAGGAGGACACAGAAAGCAGGCACAGGTCATTGGAGGACCAGTCTTTGCTTCCGTGTGGTCAAGCCTTCTTGCTGTAAGGCTGACTTGGTTGAGCATCAGACCCTGAGGTTGCAGTTGTCACCAGTGTCTGGTTGTGGTCATTACTCTGCAGCTTCGCCTGTTGATAAACGTGGTGTGGAGGAGTGTGCACAGGAACGCGGGAAGAGTGTGTGAGGTATCACAGGAAGGATTTTCCCTTTCTTCTCTCACCAGATGTTGAAATTAAATTAAATGAAGAAGGATTTGCATTACCATTTACAGCTAATGAAGATGTCCATAAAAGGTAAGGAAAATTGTGGTTTATACTGTTACAAGACTTGTCAGAGTTAAGAAACATTTTTCTTAGTAAGGTGAAAAACTAGACATTGTGGAGATTAAAATGCTTTTCAGCATATCATCTTTGCAAGTCCTGGTAATGTTTTATAAACATTCATAGAAGGTGAATGCTTTTCAACAGATTATTTGTGGTTTATTTTAAAACGATACTGGCACATAAGACTAACCAAATCCCAAATAAATTCTAGCAGTGACAGCATATAAATATTTTGAATTGTTTTACAGATTAGTTTTTTGTCTCCATTTTGATTTCTCAGGATAGCACTGTGCGTTGATGGTCCAGAAAGATTTTGCTCTAATAGCAATCACTTACTAGGAAAAGAAGCCATTAAACAAAGACACCTGAGATTACTTGGTTATCAAGTTGTTCAGGTATGCCAAAATTGTGAGCTAAACATAACCTTTTTTAATTAAAAAAAAAAATTGTGTAGGTGTGATGTAACTTTTGTTTTTCCGGAAACAATTCCTACTTCAACTTTGCATTTTACAGATACTATTAATTCCTCTGAGTCACAATAAAAATCTTAAAATAGTTTATTTGAGCAAATCTTTCTTCATGAATTGGGCAATGCCAAGTGACAAGTGGCTGGGGACCTCGAAAGGGGGTCTTTTAAGAGCAAACGCAGCAAAGCAAATAGTTGATTGGCTGTAGGTGTACAGTTCCCCAACTTGACCTGTCTTTTTGGAAAGTCCCTAGTTATACAATTAGAAATTCATGGGATGCCTGAGCTGAAGTTCTCCCTTTTTTACTACATACATTTATAAGAAATGGCCCAAGTGTCACTTAAAATTGCAGTTGAAGCAAGGTTACAGTAATTTTTTCATGGCCTAACAAACACGTCTCTTCCGGGATTTCTCAGAGCTAGTCTCTTTCAACAATGGACAGACAGCCTGATGGCACAGGAGTCTTACATCCTGTTTAAATCTCAGGTGTAACTTTATTGGCTAGTCTTAAACTTCTTGACTTAAATTTTGAAATACAGACTTTTCAGAGCATTGGTTTTTCAGATACAGGGCAGTAGAGCACAACTACATTCGTATGAGTCAGGGATGGCGAACCTTTTAGAGACTGAGTACCAATCTGTAGCCCAAAACCCACTTACTTATCACAAAGCACCAGCGCTGCAATTAGACCTGAATACTGAGGGTTTAGTTTAGAACAAACAAGTCTACACAGTGACATCTTTTGTCTCAGGTTCACTCCTACTGCTATGAGCTACACTTAACCCTGCTTTTAAAAGTAATACATTGTTAGACTATCATATTTTAATAAGTGGACAGGCTGACCCACGAAGACCAGGATGTTCACTTCCCTTAATATTGAGATCTTGTTTCTCTTTCCACTGTGAACGATGTAAGAAAGTCAGGGCAGGCCCACAGTAAATGTAAGTGAGCGGGCTCCTGACTGGCTATTGATTTATTTCCTTACATTTTTATTCCCAGCAGTCCATGCTTGCAGTTCCTTATGGTTACAGTGATAGTGGGGAGTTGTCCCTGCCCTCCAAGCTGTTTGTGCCTCTCTGCTCTCTGCTAACTTTCTTCCCTGCATCTCACACGTCCCCAGTTTATCTTCCCAAAGGAATCAGTCATACCAGCGTTTGCTAAGAAACTTTCATTATTTCTCCAGTGCTTACTGCGTGAAGTGAGAACTTGTCTGCTTCTCAGCATTCAGGACCCAGTCTGCCCTCCCAGGCCTGCTGCCCAGTGCCTCTCTGGCCACGCTCCCTGAGTGTCCAGTTCTACCCAGTTGGGTCCCCACACTCTTGTCTGAACACGAGCTCTCTTGACACCAGGCCACCCCTGCTGCCCGCCTCCTGAATTTACTGTGTTTTAGCCCCGGTTTGTGGGCTCCTTGAGGAGCATGGTGGTGCTTCTCGCTTGGGTGTCCTCGTTTGTGCGGTGCATTCTTCTGTCAGCCCCGCCCGGGCGCACACAGCGACCCAGGGTGAGGGGGCCAGGTGGGACCTTTCCCTGCCACCTTAGCTCCTGCCGAGTGGGCAGTGTGGGGAGCAGGATTCACACTGTGACCACTTCTGTCTCCCTCCACAGGTCCCCCATCACGAGGTGGAGATGCTCAAATCGAGGCTTGAATTGGTGGAATACTTGCAGGGAAAACTCTTTCCTCAGAAAACTTCTGTTCTTTGGTAGCAAGGACACTGGCTTCGGAGCTCAATAGTGAATGAACTTGTCTTCTCAAGGGACACAGTTTACGAAAAGAAAATGCTTTTTGAATCAGTCATGTTGCTGAATTTTGTGTATGGACTGGTGATCCGAAAAGAGTCTGTGGTTTTCCTTATACTGTGTATGTATTTATTTGTAGCAAATGTAAAATTAATACTAATGTCATAAATATTTTTACACATCAGACAGAATTGGTCAAGTAAATTAAACAATGAATGAATGTTGTTTTCGAATCTTTTATTTGTAATAGCTTTCTGCTAAGAGAAAATACACTCTTTAGAGACTTATTTCAAAGAAGGAATTTTATCAAACTTATTTCTGTATTTTATCACTGGAAGTGATGTAAGAAGCAGAAATGAAAAACACTATGGTATTGGATATAAACATAAGTACAGATCCATCCATATAACACTTAATAAGATATTCGTATTGGAACTTTTATCATTTTTTTAAGTGTAAAGAAATGAAAGAGCAAGTTAATTAATTTAGGTTGGACTTTGGGTGCCAGCATTAGGAGAGCAAATCTTCTGAAATGTAAATGGAGAGTGAATTAACTGTATAGGGAAAGGGACAGGGGACGTTGCCAGAGAGCCCTGCAGGGGTCCTGGTCTGTGAGCCAGCGCGACATTTGCGAGATAGCAAAGTGGGAACTAAAAGAAGCACAGAGACTTGAGAAACCGAGCCTTGGCTGCAATAAGCCGCTCTGGGCAACGAGGACAAAGGACTCCCTGGACGCCCAGTGTTTATTCCTTACAGGTGTGGGCCGTGGACACCTGCTGACGACAAGGGCCAAGCAGGCGGGGCTTAGATGAGGGCAGGATGGTGAGTTCAGAGGGCGGGAATTCGGCTGGGGCCAGTTGGCCTTGGTTGGAAGTGGACTCAGCCGAGCGCAGCTACTTCCTGTGTAACAGCCGGGTTAGCGGGGCGAGGAGCTTGTGCCGCTGCAGCCCGCTCATCCTGGGCACGGCTGTCTGCCGCAAACTCGCCGACTCACTGTGGATGCTTCAACCCTGCCCCTCGGCCCAGGGTAGCGTTTCAGGGAGGAAGAGGGCGAGGAGGTGTGGTTTGGAGAGAACTTCGGAACCGGGCTGGGCTGTGGAGGAGGACGCGCTGCTGTTTGCCGTCCCAGTCCTGATTCTGCGTTGGCCCCAGCTCAGCGCAGAGGCCAGTGCTCCCACGCATCGCCCACCGTGCGAGTCTGGTCCCAGAGCAGCAGCACAGCACAGCACGTAATGTCCTGCTTCCAGAGTCGGCCGGCTTGGTTCTCTCCAGCTTTGCCACCTGATGCTGCAGCTCGGCCTTCCGCTTCCTGGGAGAGAACCACGGGGCGGCGGGGCTGTGTCGGTTTCCTAGGGCGATGTAAGCACAAGCGGGGGTCTCAGATCAACACAAGCACCTCTTCCATCTCTGGGAGCTACAAGTTAGGTGTGGGCAGGGCCCTGCTCCCCCGGAGGCCCCGGAGGCCCTGTCCTGCTCCTCCCAGCTTCCGGCAGTCCCAGCGTGCCTTACTTGGCACGGATGTGACTAACCTGTCTTGCCTTCGTGTCTGTGTCCAGGTGGCCCTGTCCCCACGTGTCCCTCTCCTGTGTGGCTCTGAATGTTTTCCTCTTACAGGGATGCCAGCTATGCTGGATTAAGGCTCACCCTGATGAGCTCATCTTCACCTGCTTGGGTCTGCAAGACCCCAGTGTCCAAAGACGTTCACATCCACACACGTTGTATTTTGCCTGTTGAGACAAGGTCTCACTATGTAGCCCAGGCAGGCCTTCAACTCACAGCGATCCTCCTGCCTCACCTCTGGAGTGTTGGGATGACAGGTGTGTAGCACCACGCCTGAGGACACATGCCTCTTTTGAGGGGAGGAAGAAAGCATACAGTTGAAATGAGTGCACAGTTAGTATGTGAGGAGAATACTTAGGATCCTTGCAGAGTGAGCCTGTGAACCTGTTAGCTAAGATTAGTGCCTGAGTCCCTACCCGCCATGCTGCAGACCTCACTTTAGCTTTGGTCTCTGTCGTTAGGAAGAGGAGACCAGAGGAGCTTCCAAGACCACTGCTCACATTATGCCTTGGTTGTGGAAAGGGAGGGGACAGCGGAAGCGAATGGAGCGTGGACAGCAGAGGTGCCAGGGATTCTCATGGCTCCGTGCCCCCAGAAAGGATTCTCACAGAAGTGAGACCATGTCACGCGTGGGGTTGTCCCTGGCCCGGGACCTGCTCTGGGTCGTGTCGGGAGCCCGTCCCGGACACCTCTGGGTCAGTTCCACCCCAGCCGGCCTCCCCTGCTCGCCTCCCCTGCTCGCCTCCCCTGCTCGCCTCCCCTGCTCAGCCACAGTATGAAGGTCCACCCTGAAACCCGGTGGAGAAGGAGAGATGCAAGTCCCAAAGGCACGCGCATATCAGGAGGAGCTGCAACAGAGGCACAGAGACCGCCGCCCTGCGCCTGTTCCCACCCCTCCTGAGCCTCCTGTGCTCAGCTGGCCACCACTGCACGCCGGACAAGGGACACAGTGGTCGTGAGAGCGGCCTTAGTGCAGTCTGTAAGCCACCCATAGAGGAGAGAGGACAGTGTGTTTGGGCACAGACGTCCCTGCTGTGCCAGCCAAAGCCGAAGAGCAGGGTGGAGGCTGGATCTGCCTCTGAACTTTACACACGTGTTAACCCTGAAACACTCCCTCACATTATGAAAACTGCTTAGCTCATATGTACAGGGCTACTGGCTTCACCGGTAGGGGTGAATTTGATAAGCTCAGTCTTTTTTTTTCATACTAGGGATCGAACTTGGGACCTTGCGCTTGTGGCAGCACCACTGAGCTAAATCCCCAGCCCAAAGCTAAGTCCTTTGAAATAGAATCTCCATGCCTCCAGGTTTTAAAGTCTGTGCTGTGGATGCACACACCCAGCCTGGGAGCACCTGGCACCCTATGTTTGGCGACCGTGAATAAGGCACAGCCTTGCTCAATGAGTTCTCAGCAGTAAAGCCAAGAAGGAAAAGTAAGTGGAAACAGTTGTTGAAGCGTAATCCTTGGACAGTGATATTCTTTGGGCTGTCACGAGGGGGCAGCAAAGCTTAAGACACTGACAGAGCTACAGCCTTGAAGCCCTTGATCACTAGAGTTGAACCAGAGAGAGGGAGAGAAAGGGGGAGGGGGGAGGGCAGGGTGGAGGGAGGCTGTGGAAGGGTGGTGCCCAGACCCTGCTGCCTGAAGACAGGAATTTCCTTTTCCTTTCCCTTGCCTGAGCCAAGTGTGGACAGGAGAAGGCCACGCAGACCTTTGGCAAACACTTTTCAGATGAAAGAAAGTCAAAGCAAAATTCATCATAATTGGGTGCATTCTGGGGGAACAAGGAAGCAGTCAGTTACCTCTAAGAAAGGTTCCTGTGCACCTCCGGGAGGGGTCTTGCTCTGTGGCAGGGAACAAGGCCAGTTAGCCCCCTCCCTCCTGTGGGAAGCCAGCCATGGCCCACTGGCTTTTTGAAAGACATTTGTTCCTTTTTAAGGACTGCACGTGTTAAACTTGTTTTGACCCTGCACGGGAGAAACTCGGACAGCCAAAGATCTGTAGGAGTCAGGTGCTTCCTGTTAAAGATCTGATGTTATCTATAGGAGTCAGGTGTTGTAACTCCATTTTGTTAAGTTCCTCCACCTATTGTGGGAATCATGATTATTAGTTGTAAGTGTTGTTAATTTGTTTTTCTTGAGCCTGCTTTCTCTTTCCCGTGTGAACCCTCGTTCCCGTGGAGTGGTGTTGAGGTTACTATGGTAATCCCAGCCCATAATAGTTTGGTCTTTTCCTTTAAAAGGCTGATGCCTGCCTGCAATAAACGTCGCCTTGATCAGACTCTTGTCTTGGCGTCCTTCCTTTCTCTCTGCCCCATCTCCACCCCGCTGCTCTTTCAGGTTTGAGGCACTGCTGGACAGTGCTCTGCGTCGCCGGTTCACGACACCCTCCGAAGGTGGGGACTCCCCAGCTTGGAAATATACCCAGAAGCACTCAGACCCGAGATGCCCGTGTCTGGAGATGCCTGTGTGCGTCTTTCTCAGCAAACCTGGCTGCCCTACTCGCCAACCTTGCGATCACATCCTGGCCACTGTCTGCAGGACCAGGGAGCACGTGCTGCTCAGACCTCCAAGATCCACAGCAGCCTGGGCAGACTTCTTCTGTGATTAGCACCGAGGAGGACTTTGGCCGGAACCCTGGGTTGTTTGAAATCTGATCCTTGAAATAGAACATCCTGATAGTGCCTATGAAATCTGAGGCAGGCGGGAGGGACACTGACTCAGGGAAGGGGCCTCAGCGTCCAGCCTGATGGAGGAGCTTCAGATATAGAACTTTAGGATCAAACGTGTGCCGCTGATCGGACCTCTGAGAATCCTGAATCCACCTCTCAGACCTGGCTTAGTGTCAGCTCTGTACAACCCCACTGGGCTCCATCTCTGCAGCCCACCTTCACCACGTTTTACTGACCCCTTTTCCCCAAGCCTGCAAGGACACCGACGTCTGTGCCTTTGTTTCTCTGGAAGCCCCTGGGTGATTTGAGGTGAAGGCTCTCTTGCTGAACCAGGTGGAAAATTTAACTTTCATTTTTCTCTGGCTTTTGGGCTCCACCAAAGGAAAATGTGCCTCTCTAGCCTTGGTAAGATGTCTCTCAGAAGAAACAAATATCTCTCTCACCAATACCTCCCACGGTCTCTGGCATATAATGCACAGTATTTGTGGGTTGAATGGATATTTTTGGTTCTGGTGTTTGCCAGAAACAATAACTCTTAATAGTCCTACTGTTTTTAACTTTTATTATGGAAAACTATGAACACATACAAGAGTTGAAAGAATGGTAGAATGGATCCTCATGAGTCTCTTTATAGCGTGAAAAATTACCATAATTTTCCAATCATTTTCATCTATTCTTTCCCCTTTTTCCTGTTTCTTTTTTTTTTGTTTGTTTTTTTTACTGGAACATTTTTTGAGACATTGAAGCTCTCTCATTTTATCCTAAATATTCCAGTATGCATTTGTAACTAAGAAATACTTTTTTTCTTATTGTCTAACCATTCAGCCATTATTACAACTATCAAAATTAATCACTCCCTGATTTTAAATCCGTGGACTAAGTTTGCTGTCTGAAAAATAACTTGTTGATGTGTTTGGATCCGGGCCCAAAGGCCACACGCTGCTTCCAGTTATGACCACGTACATCTGCCCCTCTGCTTTTCGTAGCATTAGTACTGCGTTAGAAAACTTAGAGGGTCTCGCATTGCTGACACGCAGTTGTCCATCTCATTCCTCTACCTGCTGGAACCCCTGTTAAACCGAAAGTTACACCCGAGGCTCACTTCAGTTCAGGTTGGACTTCACCGACAAGGACGTTCAGGATGAGCTGCGTCCTCCTCCCTCCAGCTCTGACGCTGCTTTGTCCCCCTTAGTGATGCTCCTTAAGAATGAGGAGCTCCTGCATCGCTGGCGTCTTCTGTCTGACCAGGGTTTCCCGCCAACATTTCTTAGAATGGATTTTGCATCTTCTGATTCATTATCTCACCAGGTATCACAAAGAAAAAAAAATGTGAAATGTTTTTCTAATTCTGTCATTCTATTTGTCTACAAAGAGGAATTTTTAGCCAGGTGTGGCAGTTCATACCTGTGATCTCACCACTCTGAGAGGCTGAGTCAGGAAGATTACAGATTCCAGCTCAGCCTGGGAAACTTAGCCACTTAGCAAACCTGTTTCAAAATGAAAACTTATTTGTTATGTTATCAATATATCTTTGTACGTATTTTCTACTGAAAATGGTATTAATTTTTAAGTAAATTTTTCACAACTATACTTAAATAAATGGATAATGAATCATTAATATCATTCAGTATCTGGTACATACTACAAATTCTCCAACTGCCTCAAAGATGATATTTTTCTCAAATCACACAAATCACAAACATTCCACACATCGCTGCACTGTTTTATACCAAAGTATATATTGTATTGTAGAAAATATGTATTGTGTATATGTGGGGGGGATATGTTTTTACACATATGTGTACACTATTAAATGAGAAACATGGTCATGAATGTGGTAGGATTTTGCACATTTGGCATATCGATAGTTTCTCTGCCAACCTTATGATTTCTCCAAATTACATGCTTGATTTAATTCATAGTCATCTGTTTGGGAAGAATATTACATATGTATTGGTGTTAAATTCTATCATTATGCTTATAAAAATATAATAAAAATAAGTATGGGATATAATAAAATAGAAACAGAAAAATCTGACCTTAAAAATGTGAACGCTTGTTTTTGGATTTCAAATATATTTCTTTTCTGTGGGAAGTTTTGTTAGAAAATGTAAGTGATATAATCAACAAGCATATGATATTTATCAAATTAATAAAACCAAGGAGTTTATAAATTATAAAATTTTGAGGACAGTTTCTCAACTATAAAATGTAACTTTATTTGTAAATACATTATTTCAAAAATATTATACAAAAAGAAAATGAGAAAACATGTAATTTTTGAAGATCATATCAAACTAATAATGTATTTGGATTATCAGTCTGTGTTGCATAAATTTTTGTTTATTTCATATCCTTTTTTGCTGTCATATATATGTATATTTGACATTTTAATTTAGTATCTTCATTTCTTGTTATGTATGTTTGCAATCTTTAATAAAATGTATGACAAAAAAATGAAAACTTAAAAACAAAAAACAGCTGAAGATGTACTCTGTGTTCTAGTACTGAGGAAAAAAAGCCCAAAAAGGAAAGAAAAATAATTTTCCCATCAACTATTTGTGTACCCTAAAATAAGGCTTACACCAAAAAAAGCAAATGCCTTCATATCAATTTTTATTATAAAGTATTCATCTAGTCAATTGCTTGCTTGTTTGGGATGTGGATGAATTCGTGAACTTTCATATATATGATGTGCTTCAATCCTTTGCATTTCTCTTTTTGACTTAAATTATCCCCTGTGGGCTGGGGTGCCCTTCAAGTTGGCCCTTTGTCCTTTTGACCTTGTCATTAGCTTTTGAATTTTCTTGGGGGGGATCAGAATGTCCTTGGCTCCATTCTTGTCCCAGAGCTGGGAGGAAACCTCTCTCCAAAGACCCCTGGCTCCTGTACTCATGTCTTAGTTACTTTGCCTCATTACTGAGACAAATTACCTGAAACCCAAAGTTGAAAGAGGAAGGTTTATTTGGCTCAAAGTTTGTAGAGGTTTCAGTCCATACTCAGCTGGCTCCATGGCAGGGTGGCCTGGCAGAGGGGCATCACAGAGAAGAAAGTTAATGGCAGGGGGAAGGCAGGAGGGCAGCAAGCGGCAAAGTAGTGAGTGACAACAGCTGCACTCTTTCTGTTCCTTAAATTGTATCCAGGCTACACGCCCTTAGGGTGGGTAGCACTCACACCCAGGTTGGGGAGCCCTTAAACCTAGCATGGAACCTTGAATCAGTCCCAGCATCTCACATGCACACTCCATCCATCCAGCTCCAGAAAGCTCCGCCCATGATGGCATGAGGCTCTGGGGAGACATCTAGACACAGCCATAACATGCAAGGTGGTGGGTGGTGTGCTCACTGCTGGTACTGTCAGTATTTTGCATTTTTCATTTTAGGAATCATAAAATCACATTCATTTTTATTTCACAATCAACAAGATAAATGAGCAGAATTAAATTTTCATTTCAAAGTTTTAACTCATAAATTTAGTGCTTAAAGTTACTAACCATAGAGACTTCATCCATTAAGTGAGTCATCCTACTTAAAGAGCCTGATGATAAACATGCTTTGCAAATCTGCTCACAGTATTGGTGTCTTTAGGGAGAAGGCATCAAATAAGATACACACTTGCTCACCCAGGGGCCACTGTACCTGCCCACGGGTCAGTTCAGATGGCCCATGTCTTCCCTGTCTGCCCTCTGTGTTCAGAGCACAGAATTGGATCAGGAAACTCATGTGACAGGTTCTGTAGGCCTCTGCCCTTGACTCCAAGGTCCTTTAACTTTGCTGGGAAGCTGACCTCCTCTTAGGTAGGTACAAACAGGAGTACAAATAGGCCTGTCCCTCTTACTATGGGCCATGCTGAGGGGAAAACGAAGTGGAAGTTAAGTGGCTGAGCCAGCATAACAAGCTAGCTGGGGCTTCCCAGCTTCAAAAGCTGAGTTCAGCTGTAGCACAGGCCTGTAATTCCAATCTTCTGGAGGGCGGAGGCAGGAGGATTACAGCTCAGTGAGACCCTGCCTCAAAAAAAACAGAAACAGGCTGAGGATGTCGACTCTGGTCCAAACTAGTAATGCACGAAAGAAAAAAGTCTGAGTTCAGGAGAACACAGAGTAGACATCGCATATGCCATGTGAGATGTGCTGAAGTCACAGCTACTGAGAAATGACAACTGCCTCCTTTGGTTTGTCTTTCCCTGTCTCACATAGACAGGGAATGGACTTCTAACCAAGTTTCTCCGCAGCTTCGTTCTGGCTCCAATGTCAAGAGAAATGGCCCACGTGTTCAGCTGCAGTGTGGACCCAGCACCTCCGGAGTTCCCGGGGCTCAGGGTTACCAGCCAAGCCCTGGCTCTCTCGGGAGGGGCAGGCCATGGTCCGGGGTTCAGGATCGCAGTGTGCACCGGGGCTACCTAGGCCAAGGCAGTGCGAGAGGAAACCACGAACAAAGTCCTTGAACGTCGCGGCTGCGGCTGATGAGAACCCCGTGCTGTCACCCAGAACTCCGTCCTTGCCCTGACCCTTCGTTCTCCTGCTTCTTTCATCCTTCCCTTTCCCAGCACAGAATAAGTGCGACGAACTTGAGCTCGCTCACTCAGGTGTGTTCTTTACCTGTATTCCAGGCACGCACCCCAGCAAATGCATCACAGGACCACGGGAGTAGCTGTTTGGCCGGAATGGAACAGTCAGGACCGGTCTCCCACGGTTCCACCCAGCACTGCCCCTCTGTCCTGTGTTCCTGGGGCCTGCACAGCCCGTGTCCCGGGCAGCCAGGCTTCTCCCACCCTGAGGAGCGGGGAAGGGGCCCGCGAGGTGCGAGGGGCAGCAGACGAAGCAGCCACAGGGGCAGAGGGCGGCCAGGCCCGGCCCAAGCGGCGGGGTCGCCCGTCTAGCTCCCCACAGGTACGCGGCTGTCCCACTTGGGAGGTGACGGCACGCGGGGAGTCCAGCCCACAGCGCAGGGAGAGCCGCTTCCTCCGCCATCCTTCCCGGGAGATCCCGAGCCCCGCTCCGCCTCCCAGCGCTGGCCGCTCGGGTGGACCGCCTGCTGCTCCAGGCCGCACCTCCAGCTCCGGGGCGCCGGTAGCCCTGTCCTCAGCTGCCACACCGGGAGCCGGGGCCAGGAGGGCCCTGCCCTCCGGAGGGGGTGGGTGGTCCCGAGGCTTTGCACCCGGGCGTGGCCTGAGGGACTGGAAGTGGCCCCGCCCGCTCCTCCCGCCCCGCTCCATCCAGCGCCGTTGCCAGGCAACGTCAGACGCGGACCGCAGCCTGGTCTAGGACTTAGCCGCAGCAAGGACGATGGACTCCGACACCCGCGAGCTACAAAACGAGCCAGAGGACGACGAGATCACGGCCGCCATGCTGCGGGGCCGGCCTCGGCCGCTGCCCCTCTCGGCCCTGTCGGCCTTCAGCTACATCCCGCCGCGGCGCCGGGACCCCGAGGAGCACAACTACTACCGCCGGCCGGGCCAGGTGGGCGGGGCCCGGGGTGGACCCGGGGAGCCTGCTGGACGGCGGGGGACTCGGGACCCAAGTTGGTGTCCAGGCTTCACAGGAGGGCAGGAACCCCTGCAGCCTGCAAAGCTAAGAAGGCAAGGAGGGGGGGACCGGACGTGGGAGTCCGCCGGACTGGGCGTGGCCTCCGGGTTCAGGGCGTGTGGAAGGCGGCAGGGGCTCGCACATTTCCTGCGGCCTCCTAAAGCAGAAGCAGCAATTCCTGACCTCGCTGTCGGTGGTGGTGGTCTGGTCCTGTAGCGTCACCATCCCATCGTTGCTGTGTGTCTTGCTGCTCAGGATGCAGGGCGCAGGTGTCACTGCTGCAAAGGGGCTTTGACGGGTCCCTCAGCCTGCCGGGATGACTGGGGAATGGGCCTTTCTTATCTTCCTTGTCCCAGGGGCTGAGGGACCCAGAGGAGGTGTTCAGAGTCCCTCAAGGTGAGTGAGCTACTCCCACAAAATGCATTCTGGTCCTCCTCCGTACCACAGTCCTAGAGTCCAGAGAGAACCCTTTCCATCCGGCAGCACCGACGGGCCTGGGGGGGCAGGTGTCCTGGACCCCTAATCCTCCGTATCTCTGAACCTTGAATCACATCTCTACAGAGTCAGGCTAGGGCAGGCCTGACCCAGCGTGACTGGTGTCTGTCCGTAGGCAAAGGGGAGATGCAGAGACCAACGCATAGAGGAAAGATGATGTGGAGATCACGGGAGGAAAGCTGAGGACCAGCCAAGGGCGACCTCAGGGCCGCCTGTCGCAAGCCGCAACGTCAGAATCCTGCCAGCAGGTCCCAAACCCGAGGGAGGAACAACAGGAGAGCAGTTTCACGAACTTAGTTCCAGGCTCATGCTCTACCGCAGTAAGGCCCCGTTTATTTTTCAGGGTCGGGTATATATAGGCTGAAACCGAAACCAAAAGTGTAAACATTTATACTCTTCAGCTGCATGGGAGCAAGAGCTGCACGGGAGCGAGAGTACTGCCGGCCCACACATCCCAGAGGGAAACAATAACAACCATTATGGGTTACATCTGCTACCAGCTGAACTCGCCCGTTGCTATCGGCGAGGTGGCTCAAAGTTCAATCATGGCTAGGCCTATGTCAAGGCTCACCGTGATGGCTCACCATAGCCGCCCACCCTGCTGGCCCTGGTTTCACACCCCTGGCTGCTGGAACCATGCGACCACACACTTGTGCCACCGGAGTCTGTGCTGCCAGCCCTGGCACATGGAGATGGCACCCACATGGCCCAGCCTGCTCCAGGGGCTCTTGTGTCTGACTGCTCTGCTCCTGCCTCATGGCAGGTTGGGCAGGCAAGGGGCAGAGGGGATACTGTCTGACAGATCTTCCTTCACAGTCCTGGTAGCCAACCCTCCTGGAGAGAGGGTGGGGTTTAAAGCTCTGGCTACCAATTTCCTTGCAGGACCCCGTTTCTCTCCGCTGGGCAATATATTTTAAACAAACTGTTTTCAAATGATTTCACTGATGAAATAAGGTTTATGTTTTATTAATGTAATGCCTATATGACAGCTAAAGTCTATGATATATATATACATATCATATATGAAGGCACAACATCACATAAATAGCCAAAAATAAGGCACTCCAAGGCCTACACTGTTTTATGGAGAGAATATAGGATGTGTTTGGCTTTTAGATACAATGATAATAATTTTGGCCACTTTGAGGAGGCCTGTTAAATACCACCTTCCTGCTATGAAAACCTAGGGTGGAAGATTAAGCAGGTGGGGCCTGAGATACTTATTTATTAAAGATAAAGGCCAGGTTGCAGAACTGCACCAAGGACTCTGAGCTCATGGCCCTGCTGATCTGAATCTCAGACTGGGTAGATTCACCCTTCCTGCCAGCATACCTGGGGACCCTGGAAAAAGCAGGTGGAAAGGCATGCAAAGGGGAAAGGGAAAGATGTGAGCCCAGCGGGTCCAATCTGATGACTGGCTTCTCTTCTCAGAGCCAAACCAGCCAAGGGACAGAAATACCTAAGCCCCAGCCCCCAGGAGATGAAGAGGGGTGCAGAAAATGCACCTTTTAATGCAGGGAGAGAACTCAGACCTCGGAGTCAGATCCAGCCCATTGCCTGACTTCATCAATAAAGTCTGATTGGAACCCAGCCTCACAGCCATTTGTCTTGGATTGCCTGCAGCTATCACATGGAGCTGAGTAGTTTTGACAGAGACTGTGGGACCTGTGAAGCCGAAAGTAATGAGGTGGACTTTGACAGCAAAACTTGCCTGCCTGCATTCTAACACAGGCCTGCCTTCTGGAAGGCAGAGACAGAACAAAGGACAAATCAATGCAAAAGGGGATTTGGGAAACAAAGGAAACAGTAAAGAGTTTTGGTAGCTGGGACTGCAGACCAATTCAAGTGTTGAAGTCCTTAGTATTTCATGAAAGAAAACAATGTAATAGAAACGTTAACACCTCCACAAAGACTCTTCAAAGCGACAAGAACAACAGAAGACATTTCCAAGCCCTTTGGCCGAGCTGGCGCTCCATGGCAGTGAAGAACTCCCAGATGCGATCTGGCCTGGTATTCAGTCAGCCACAGGTGTCCAGAAGCTGATTCTCCAGCCCTGAGGTCCCTTTGAGAGGACAGATTCTGTATGACACACTCGCTGAGGCCTCAGCACTGTGGAAACCTCTCTGAGTATTCCATTGGGCCTGTGGTCTGGCGGCTGCACCGTGCATGCCCAAATTCATAAATAGCTGGCCTCACCTCCAAGGGATGGCACTGCAGGGTGGGCCTTGGGGAGGTGCTTAGGCCGTGAAGGGCGAGCCCTCATGAATTGGGTTGATCACCTCGCAAAAGGAAACCCAAAGTGATGCCCACCACTCCCACCGCCTAGGCACAGCATGAAGGCCCCATCTGCGGGCCGGAAGCAGCACACTCACCGGACACCACTGAAGGTGCCAGCAGTGACCTTGGATCCTGCAGCCTCCAGAGCTGTGAGAAATGGATTTGTGCTGTTCAGAAGTTTCCTGGTCTGTGGTACTGTGTTGTAGCAGAAGGAACAGACTGAGTTTATGACTGTAGTTTGCAAAGCAGTCAGTTTCTGATACGAGCTGAAGTCCTGGGCAAGCGACTGGTTCCATGTTTCCTGTCTGTGGAGCTGTCCAGCTCACAGATGCTCGGCATGGCCCTGTCCTTCTGTGAGATGAACAGTGTCTGCTTCATCGGGCTCTGAGGAGAATGTTCCAAACTGGCCCAGGGTGTGGGTAGGTGGTAGAGCACGTGCCTAGCATGTGCGAAGCCCTGGGTTCAATCCCCAACACTGGAAAACAATTTTTAAGTAAATGAACAAGTGCAAAATAGCACAAAGTAAGCTACTGTTATTTTGTTGGTGATCATTTTGACCTTCCTTTCACGATGTGGTGAGCCCAGTAGCCAAAGTCATAATCGCTGACCTCCAGTCACTTCAGAGATTCACACAAGTGAGGGCAGAAAGCATGAGCATCAGTCCGTTCCTCCTAATCATTGAACACAGCCCAGCCCAGGGAGCCCATGGAATTAAGGCACTGAAGCCTGAGCACTTCTGTAAAGCCTCAGTGATAACGTCCCTGAATCAGAAGGCAAATTTGTCCTCTCAGGCTGCCAGCTAAAATGTGCCTGGCTCTGGTACTGCTCCTGAGGAGGCTCTGGCGATGCGATTTCCCTGCAAAATAGGGTCCCAGTGGTTGCTCGGTAGCGTTGTAAAATTACTTTTTTCTTTCTGTGCCTTGCACAGCATTTCTGCTGCTGAAATAGAAAAGCCATGTCAAAGGAGACTGCCCTTTTATGAAGGTTTTGATTAAATTCCTCAAAGTCTAAGAGTTAAGCTTTAAAAGAAAAAAACAGCCGGAGGGGTTTTATGTTTTATACTCTGCTTTCCTGGGTGCTGGTGTGGGAAGTTCTGTTTTGAGGAAAGCTTTCTCTCCGGGCCTCACTTTACTTTGGTGGCATTAGCTGATTTCTTTCTGCGTGTGTGAAATGCTGGCACTGAGCCCCGGGCTGACTGTGTCTCCATGCAGTCTTCCTGCCCCTTGAGGCTTCCACTCGGTGACCCTTAATCCTGACCTCTTACCTTTACTGGGTCAGGAAGGAACTAGCGGATGAGTAGAGTATGTTCCCGAGAGTGTCTGCTAGATCGTGCGTCCTGAGTGTGGGTAGTTATCTGGTCCCTGCTCGTCCCTCTCTGGCACTGTCCACCACTCTGCTCCCTGGCTAGGAACCTTTGCTCCGCCATGCCCTCAACCTCGTAGCAGCTCAACACAGACTGCAGTCTTTGAAACTGAGTCAATTGAACTTCTCGTCCTTTAAGTGGTGGTGTCCAGTACCGTGTCTCAGCCACAGGAAAGCTGAGTGATGCCCACACCATCTCCCATTCTGCCACCCAGAAGAAGAGGGACCCAATCGGCCCTTTGACCATGCAGTCTCTCCTTGGCCCCAGTGGGCCCCTGAGACTGACGCAGAGCCCTGGGGGTCAGGGCACAGCCATACTGTAAAGCAAACACCAGTCAGAGAGAGGAGGTCTACTGACTTCAGTTCAAGGATAAAACAGTGTGATTATTTGAAAAGTTGTACAAATTCCCGGAGCTTGTGATACTGATATACCTGGAGAAGAGACAGAATCTTTCCCAGAGACAAACCAAAGTGAATAGCTGAGCATAGTCCTTTCAAGCGTGCTCATCTCTTGTCCTTGATAAACTGCAGTCCCCTGAGGTGTCGGATCTTGAATGCTGTTGAAATTCATGCAAATATTCTGATTGAGCTACACACACACTGCTTAGCTCCCACGGAGAAACTCTGGGTTTGTCAGAAATACAGTGAGACACCTATGAATCAAGGGAAACTACTGTGGGTTCACTGGGGAGGTTTCCCTTCTGTCTTTCCCGGTCCATGATGAGACTGGAGGTCATGGTGGGGAGACGTGGTAGAAGGAAGAAGCTCACCTCGCGGCTGAGGGAGAAGGGAAGGGGCCAGGTCCCCAATGCACTTCAGAGCCCGCCCCCAGAACCGACTTCCTTCCCTGGCCCCGCCCCGAGAGTGTCTCCGCCCTGGCATCGCGCAGAGCTACTGGCTGGAGTGACTGAAAGGCACAGGGTGTGGAGGTGGCAGCACCATGCTCTGTGAAGAGAGGGAATTAGCACTGTCCCGTCATAGCCCGGTTTCCATGTTGGTCAAGGCGAACCAGGATGCACTTCGGAAAAAGTGACCTGAACGCCGAGGGACTGGGTACCGGGCCCGCTCTTGCCCTCTGAGGAGAGCCCATTTGGGGCATCTCTCGGAACTTGTGTTTAATCGGTTCCCTACAACTGGCCACAGAGGGGAGTGTGTTACTTAGCTTTTCATCACTGTGACAGAATACCTACAAAAATCAATTTAAAAGAGGAAAGATTTGTGTGGGCTCATGGTTTCAGGGGTTTTAGTCCATGGTCACCTGGAAACTTGTTTCTGGGTCTGTGATGACACAGAACATCATGGCAACAGCATGTGGGAGAGTTGGCTCAACTCATGGTGGGCAGGAGGCAGACAGAGAGGACAGCCCGGGTCCTCTTGTACCCATGAAGGCCACACCCGCAGGACCTACTTTCTTCCTTGAGGCCCCACCACCCAGCTGCAGCTCCATAGCCGCATCTATCTGGGCCCAGGCTGCAGGAAGCTTTCAGCATAGGGAGTGGGGTCACCGAGAGAGCTCATGACAGGTCATCCAGCACCAGGATCCAGTGCAGCAATGCTAAAACACAAAGGGACGAGGAAGAGGGATCACAAGGAAAAAATGCGTATTTTCAGTTTTGCTTGTTTTGAAAAGCAGCATCATGTGTGAGATAGAGTAATTCCTTGAAAGCTTTAACCTGCAAAAATACCAGTAACTCAGATGCTGTTCTGCGATAGCATCTAAATCCTAGCTGGTTTTTATTAATCCCATTTTGCTTCAAGCCATAGAGGGATTAAAGAAAAAAGAAGAGTAATAATTAAAATCCAGGAGAGATGCACTGTAATTTTGATTAGAAATTGGAAATGGACAGTCAGTTTTCTCAGTTGGACTGCCTGCCTCATAATGACTTTTATTTTTCCTTTTTGTTCTTAATTTTCAATGAGAGAAAAATTCGTTTTCACTCTAGAAAGTTCTGAATATGCAAAATCCGTGCAAAGCAAAGTTATCCAAAAGCCTGCTCTCTCCACACCCTGCGGCTGAGAGATTCCCCGTAAAGACTAAGATGTACTTGGTGCTTGGCAACTAATTCTCTGATTGTTGTAACCTGAAACCCCTGAAACTGTGAGCCCACACAAATCTTTCCTCCTTTAGGTTGATTTTTGCAGGTATTCATTCTGTCACAGTGATGAAAAGCTAAGTAACACACTCCCCTCCGTGGATTTGTTTCTACGCAGCAGGTACTGCGTGTTTTAGGAGCTCTGAGGAGGACGGAGAGAGTTGGCCAGCTCTTGTCTGAAGCTGCCTATCGCATTGGCTTCCCTTTAGTGCACATTCTCGTTCCCTCTCTCTTCTTCTCTCCTTGAATCCCTTCTCCCCAGGACAAGCCAGGACCCCAGCAGGGCCAGGCTTACTGGCTAGGAGGGCGTGGCAGGAGGAGGCACAGCCCAGGCAGTTCCAGGAGCTCTGTTTTCTGGACTTCAGTGCTGTGCCCTTCTGATCAAGCTCCACTGACCTCGGCGAGGCTGCTCAACCACGGAGAGCAGGGTGTGGCCTGTGGTGGCTGCCAGTGAGCTCCATTTGGGGACAAGGTTCTCAGGGTGCAGGAGAAGAGGGTGCCTCGGAGGCGTGGGAGTCCTGATCATCGTGTTGCACACTGGGTCTTCTCCCGACAGCCCTCCCTGGTACAGGATGAGCCAGGTGAGGAGCAACCCCAGAGTGCAGGGAACACCTGGGTTATGACCAGGAACCCAGCGTCCTCTATTATAATGGGTATCGAGTCATTGTTATTCTCGTTTCGACGCTGGCCCCGTCTGGGCCTGTCCAGGAGCTCTGGACATCGGTGGGGGAGATCTGGCCGTGATACATTTCCTTGTGGAAGCCCCTTGCCTTTGCGGAGTTCAGACCTCCATCTCCACAGGGTGGGTGGTGCCCTTGGACTCTCTCTGGGTCCCAGAAGGCCCTCTGTTGGCTCACCCCACAAAGCTGTGCTTAGCTTGTGCAGGCTTGCAGCTCGCCGGCTTCTGCATTAACAGACGTCTGCGTTGCTATGTATTAAAAATACAGAAATGCCTCTGTCATGTCTTCAAAAAGATTTTTTAACATGTAGTTTATTTGATAAGCAAAGGTCTAATTTCACGGGCAAAGTGATGGATGTTTGCTCTGTGACATGTTCCTCCTGCTTTTGGGTGTAGCAGGTCATCTCTGGGTTTTCCTTCTCGCTCATTTTCGGGCCGTACGGAATTACTATCATCTGTCATACGAAGCCCCAAGGAGCTAGGCAGTTTTCACAGTGCTAAATGCCGAACAGTGTATCAGTTCTCCATTGATTTTGGCTTTTCATGCGTCACTTGGGATATTTCAAGTATTCTTTCCAGAGCTGAGAAGGCCAAGCAGTTTGGGAACGACCTACCCAGCAGCTGCGCCTGTAAGTGCGCAGAAACGTGAGAGGTCTGTGCTCCTGTTCACATTAAACCACCAGCAGCGGTGCAGAGGCCAGAGCTGCGGTCCCGGACTGGAGGTCACCCCTCCCTCTGAGAAGCACAGCGGCTCTGGCCTTAGGCAGCCCGGGGCTCCAGCGGTGTCTGAGTAAGCGCATCACCTGGTGTTGCCCTCGGACCTTCCGGAGGGATCCCAAGGGGTGCTGCTGCTTCCCTCACAGGATGGCCAGCTGCCCGAGGATAGTCACGCCTCTGACTTGCGTCCCAGGTTCCCTGCCAGGGTCCTGCCCCTGGAAGATCATCTGTGAGCGACGGGTGAAGGACCCGCGGGGCTCTGTTCACACCGTGGCTGTTCCCACTGCTGCCAGGAGCTTGGCAGGATGGGTCAGTGAGGACGGTGTCTCCCCACGCACCAAACATGTGTCTTGTATCAGCTCACTGCTCATTTCTTCCTTCTTGTCCTGTGCTTGGAACAGATCATTCTGCATCACTATGGGGGGTGGTGAGAAGAGCCAAAGCAAGCAAGCGTAAGTTAGAGATGTGATGCTCCCCAATCCTGGGAGGCCTGCAGGGTGTAGTGCTGGATTTAAGGCAACAGGAGTGACAGATGCCGTGTCTGCTTCAGTGGGTAATGATCGAAGACCAGTGGAGACGTGAATTCCTTCTTTTACTGGACACCAAACAAGGCGGACTTATTATTTTAAAAGTGAAATGAAAAACTGGAAGCCGGGTGTGGTGGCGCACGCCTGTAATCCCAGCACGCAGGAGGCTGAGGCAGGAGGATCGCTGTGAGTTCGAGACCAGCCTGGGCTACATAGTGAGTTCCAGGTCAGTCTCAACTACATAGTGAGACTCTGTCTCAAAAAAACAAACAAACAAACAAACAAAAAACAACAACCAAAAAAACTGGAGCTATCACAGATGAGACAAATGCTGATGGTCATTTTCTTCATCCAGCTGTGCAGGGCACTTGTGTGTGACACAGGCAGGAACATGTGAATGTGCAGAGAGTGCATATCCACACAAGGGAATTTCCAAGGGTTCTATCTAGCACATGTGATTAAAGAAAATATTTTTGTCTCTCAAGGGAAGGTTTTCATGCTAAACATTTGAATATTGGCTACCAACTTAACATCTCTGTTCGGTTATGTCACCTTAGCTTTCACGTGCTGTTAAGTTTCAAAGCAACACAAATTTATTATATAATTTGAGAAAAAAATTTTCAGCCTGGGCTATAGTGAGTTCCAGGTCAGTCTCAACTACATAGTGAGACTCTGTCTCAAAAAAACAAACAAACAAACAAACAAAAAACAACAACCAAAAAAACTGGAGCTATCACAGATGAGACAAATGCTGATGGTCATTTTCTTCATCCAGCTGTGCAGGGCACTTGTGTGTGACACAGGCAGGAACATGTGAATGTGCAGAGAGTGCATATCCACACAAGGGAATTTCCAAGGGTTCTATCTAGCACATGTGATTAAAGAAAATATTTTTGTCTCTCAAGGGAAGGTTTTCATGCTAAACATTTGAATATTGGCTACCAACTTAACATCTCTGTTCGGTTATGTCACCTTAGCTTTCACGTGCTGTTAAGTTTCAAAGCAACACAAATTTATTATATAATTTGAGAAAAAAATTTTCTTAAATGAAGGAGACACATGCATCCTTAGTCAGAGAAAGTCTTGCTGTGGTCTCAGGGTTTATGTCCTGCCCCACTTTCCTATGTGGAGACTCAGCCCCTGATATTGTGGTGTTCAGATCCCTCGAGGATAGAGCACTCATGAACAAGATTAATGCTCTTACAGAAGAGGCTTGGGGGAGCTCCAGCACCCGTTGTGCTCCCCTTCTCCCATGGGAGGACACAGAGAGAAGCTGCCAGCTCTGAAATACATAGCAGCCCTCAGCAGAATCTCTCACTGGAATCTGCCAGTGCCTAGAAAACTTCTGTTCATACACCAGCCTGTGGGACTCTGTTTCCACTGTGGACAGAATGGACCAAGACTCGGTTACTATTCTCACTGAAGATTTGAGCTGTCACCGTGAGACAGGAAGAGAGCTTGAGGGGCCATGTCCGTCAAGGAGGCGGCATGAGAGAATGAGGACAGTGCTGTGGGAATGTCCCTGCTTGGTCCCAGACGCTCAGCACCCTGCTCTGGCTGTGGGGCCGGGCTTCCTCCTGCTCCAAGCCACAGCCATACCTGCTTTGTGTGGGTCCTTTCCCTACACATTGCAGTCAGGAAACTGCACATCCTGGCTCCACAGGACACCAGCGGCTCAACCTTCAGATTAACCATGGCTTCCTTTCTATTTTATTCCCAGACAGGGATTGTTTCACTCTATGACTGCATCTTTAAGAGGCGCCTAGATTACAACCAGAAATTGCACAGAGATGACAGAGAACATGCAAAAGGCCTGGGCCTCCATGTTAATGAGGAGGTGAGAGTAAGATAGAATACTAACAATATCCCTGTGTGTGCACACATTCACATATGTGTAAGTGCCTGTGTGTGTGCACATGTGTTTGTGTATGTGTAATATCTGTGTGCATTGTTCAATGAGTATGTGTGTGGCTGTGCACGTGTGTATCTTGTAATGTGTGTACACACATTTAATTTTGTGTTCTACTGCTTTATGTATCTTTCTTTTTAAGCAGTTCACCTGTATCTTACTGTGCCAAGAAGCTGAGAACAAGCTACTATTATAGCTCCTCCTATTTTATAGTGTCATTGTGTGTTAATTTTAGCTTTTCATTCTGTTCTTTGGTCCGATACAGTGTACCCACTTAAGGACAGCAAAATGAAGAAGCTTTTTCTGTAGATCAGTCAGGTCTCTGAGTAACCTCTGAGTCCTGGCTGTCACAGTGTCTCCAGGACGGTGGAAACTGCGTACACCAGGGTATCTCTCCCCTTTGGCCCTGAACCACTGTAACCCCCACGGGTCTCTCTTCTTTTGTGTTTCCCCCATCTTCCGGAAGGGGGCGCTGTCCTACCGGCAGCTGCTCCTGGGGGTCCCGCACAGCTAGCCAGTCTCCCAGGAGGAGGAGGCCAGGGTCTGGCAGAGGGAGAGATTCACAGGGGGCGTCTCCCCTTAGCCTGGCGGCCTTCTGGGGTGGGCCCTTCTGCTGCCTTTCTGTTCTCCAAACATAATGTTCACGGAGCTTGATGTGAGGACAGCAGGCTTAGTAGAAGTCAGGTGCTGAATGCGCAGCCTTTCATAGTTAGAAACTTCCGGTAAGGCTTCTGTTTGGGTCTTCATGCTTTCGTCTGTGCCTGTTACTGTTTGGGAACCAGGGAGAGGGCTGTGACCCAGTAGGAAGCCACTTGAGGGGCAGGCACGATCCCTGGGTGTGGTCAGCAGCACTGCAAAGGGTGCCCCGTGGAGATCCTCCGTACGCTTCATCCATTTAAGGGATGAAGGCAACATGAAGTATTTACACTAAGGCCGTAGATGCTGGGTTGTTTTCTCTTAGTTCTGTTCCTGTTAATGCATCCCATTGTAGCGAAAGGAGGTCAGTGCTTCCCTCATGAGAAAAATGAGGCTGACATCACTTACTTTTTTATTGCCTCTCACATTCATGCACGTATGTGTAATGTGTGTACTGCTGAGCATGAACTCCCAGGTACCACTGAGCATAAAGGAGACAGCACAGGTCCTCTCCTCTGGAGATGACTTTCCCACAAGTGAGACAAAAATAAAAGAAACACTGAGTCCTATTCCAGGCAATGATAAAGAGAGTTATTCAAGGAGACAGAGGAGTGAGGGTGAAGAGGAGTGTCCCAGGAGGGGAGGGGATGCATGGAAGACTGATATTTGTGACATCCACATACTCCAGGAGTGTAGGAGGCCCCAGCTGGCGCAGGACAGAGAACTGACCAGAAAGAGCAGATAGGCCGAACAGAGTTCTGAAAGCTGGAGCAAACTGTCCCGTGTGCTCGGAGGGATCTTAGCTATCTCTTGTCATCACCGGAACACAATCCCACAATGTAAAGGAAGAGGGTTCTTTGGCTTATGGTTTCAGAGGGCTCAGTCCATGGTCAGTCGCTCCAAGGCAGAAACGGCCTGGTGGAAGGGCCTGGAGGAGGTAAACTGCTCACCCTGTGGCAGCCAGGAAGCAGAGAGAGAAGGGAGGAGCTAGGGACAAGAATCCACCCTCCCAGGTCACACCCTCGGGACCCCCTGCAGCCAGGCCCCACCTCCTCATGGCATCTGCAGCTCTGCCTCCTCCGTGGATGGATCCACTGATGTGTGTAGCGCCTGCGTGATTCAATCCCCTTCCATGTGAGAACATTCTGGGGACGGGTTAGGACTGAACCGTAGCAGGGGGAAAGAAAGCTGACGGGAGGAGGGCCGGGAGAGGGCGTGGAGGGACTGGACAAAGGAGCAAGGAGTCTGAAGTCAGAGGGTGCGTCGTGGAGGATCCTACCTTTTCCTCTGACTGACAGGAGGCCGCTGGGCAGAGGGGACAGCTTCTGCTCTCCTTTGAGAGGAGCCCGCAGGTGTGTGGACGAACCCGGACAGGTGGATGGATCCGCCACGCTGGTGAACACGGGTGCTGAGAGTGTTTTGTTGTTCTCCCCAGGAACAGGCCAGGACTGTGGGGGTGCTGACGTCCTCCGTGTATGGGAAGCACATCCAGCACCCCATTGAGCCCCTGAACCGGGGCTACGGCCGTGTGAACCATGTGCAGGCGGACTTCTACAGGAAGAACGACATCCCCAGCATCAGGGAGCCTGGCTTCGGGCACATTGCGCCAGCCTGATGCAGTCCTCGTGGCCGGCGGGGCAGTGCGGTGGCACAGGAGGGATGGCACCCACACCCTGTTCCTAACATCGAGTCGCATCTCACAGTAGGGGGTGCACAGCTTTCCCTCAGCTTGTCTCAGATAGAAACCTGGCCATACACCTTTCTTACATATTAGACTGTGGAGAGAGGATTTTACCTGCACTCATTTCAGATTAAATGACACTGGAGAGGGGCTGACTGTGAGCACCCGAATAAAAGGAAAACATGGTTCCCTTCCATGATGCTGGGCTGGTCTCATCACTGTCTCTGTCTTTGTCTCACTGTCTCAAGGAGGCCACCAGAGTGGGAAGAAGCAATTTTGCTAACAGTGAAGGGAAATGCTGATAACACACAGCCCCGACTCCTTCCTTTCTCCACGGGGAGGGAAGATGCAACCTGGACGAGGCATCTGTTTCCCTAGTGGTCTGACTCACAAAGGCCTGGATGACAGCTCTGAGAATGGTGGCTTCTTGTCACTTCTCAAGGGAGAAGCTGCCAGAGGCCCTGGGAGAGGCTGTGTTTGGGGGTTCAACGGACTCGGGGAAAGTTCTGGCCTCTGCCTTTTCTCCTTTGTGGTCTAAGGCAAATCATTTGGTCTAGTTGGGCCTTCATTTTCTCATCTTTAAAATGGAACTTCCAAATGAAAGTGAGTCTGTGCTAGAATCAGTGAGCTCCAGGGGTGGAGCCGGGGGCACTGTGGGTGTCCCGGCTCCAGGTCATTGCAGTGTGACCCCCCCCAGGCCCTGTTCTGGGGATGGAACTCAGGGTCCCACATATACTAAGTACTCACTATGCTGTGACTCTGGGCTGCACCCCAGACCGAGGCTGTACTTCCTAATGGTTTCCTCTGTTTGGAAGCAGCTGTTTTTCACTCAGAAATGTCTGCTTTGCAGAGAGTTGGAAATTCACTGCAGTGCTAATGTATCAGCTGTGTTTCTAACGGATGGATCCTTTGGAAGAAAGCATCCTTCATCAACCATGATTCAATTTCCCACAGTTTAGCAGTTAATGGGCAAGTGATCTAATTAATTTCAGTGCCGTCCTTAATCACTGGCTTTATTGTTGAGTCAGAGTCTGCTGGAGGATCCTCTAAGGACCCACAGTACTTGATTGCTGGCAGTTTCAAGGCTGAGTGACTCCTAAATATTTCTTTATTTTTTGAAATGTTTTTGCAGTGTACATGCCTTTTGTAGAAAAAAAAAAACACCAAAAGTTTATTTGAATTGTTTTGGGGTACATTATAACCGTATTTCCAATAATACAATAAAAATATATATACAATCTGGATTGATAAAACTTTGTATAAATTACTCTTTAGTCAGTACAGGTTTCAACAGAAAGGTATCTCTAGTTGGCTTCAATAAATTTATATCAAACTAAATTATTTTCATTTGACTTTAAGTCAGACCCAACACTCTTAACCTACTGCTCATTTTTAAAACGCAGGGGTGGGATTGGGCAAGGTTTCAAAAGATACCACATTCATCAGGCAGGAAAAAAATGAAATGTATTTCTGCTGGCATCCTGACATTTACTATTGAAAGCCAGTAAGTGGGTGCCCATTGGAGCCATCTTATCAAAGAGAAGACTTTTTTTTCTTTAATTGAGAAAGATTCTCCCAGGCTGGACTCAGACTTGTGAGCCCAAATGATCCTCCTGCCTCAGCCTCCCATGTAGCTGCAACTACAGGCTTATACCACCATTCCTGGCTAAAGAGAAGATACTTTAATGTTAATAGGATGTTTTCATTGAACAAATTTCTACCATTGTTCAGTTATATTTCCTGATAAGTAGATGTATGTAGAGCACAGAAAACCAGAAAGGTTGCTCCCTTCAGAAAGCCCACTGAGCTGGAGAGAAGAGTAACAGAGACTGACAACAGACTTAGCTGCCTCTGCACTGATAGATCAAAACCGGGGAGTTTTAAGGGAACTGGACTTAAGGGGTTTCCAGGAAAGAAGGCTAAAGGTGAAGGAGCCCTGGAGGGATTCTCCTGTGGGCTGTGGCAGGGTACAGGTGGCAGAGGGGCACGGTCAGCCCTGGATCCTCACTTGCTGCTCACAGGGGGGACTGTAGTTGCCCCTGACAGGGGTGACTCCTTCTATGTTGCGGAACAGTCCGTTTTCCACTCCGCCCTCGCTGTGAACACTGAGCACTGTCACCCTTCAAACACGGTCTAGATCTCCCTGTCCCCTCACTGTCAAATGCAGGTATCTCGAGCTGGACAGGACATCTGGGTCACCCCGGGGAACTTGGTAGCCAAAGCAGACAGGCGCTGGGCGGGACATCTGAGTTGGCGCCCACCGGGGTCTGCATTCTGCCGGTGCTCGGTGCCCTCGGGGCTGCTGGCAGGGACCATGCTACACAGGCCCAGGTGTTGACAAAGCGTTCAAGGCTCTCTGTCATCTGGTCAGACTGATGTACAACTGTGGGGTTCGACTCCTTTCCGGTCCTTCTCACTGCAGACCCAAGTTCGCTTCAGAGAACTCGGTCAGTCGCCCAAAGCAGGTGACCGAAGGCGACCTAGGGTGCATGAAGAGAAGAACCTGCCAGGCGCTTCTGGTGAGCAGCACTGTGAATTACAAACCACACAGTTTGGGCTCACTGGAGTCCTTTGGCATTCCAGCCCAGGTCTGAGTGAGAGGCAGAAGAAAGGCCCTCTTAGTATTTTTGTTGCTTCAATCACTCTTTTTGGCGAGTGAGGTGTGTTTAGACCAATGCCGAGTTGTGACTACAGGATAAAAAGTCTCCTAGTTGAGGGAGAAAATTGACCAAGTCAGGCTCCATTCTCACTTGGGTGACAAAGGACACAGCTCTGAGTCAGGGCCCAAGTGCAGCACCCGCGTGCCTGTGTGCCCGCTGGGAACAGGCTGACATGATCACTCACTAGCTCACCACTCACAGCCCAACCCCGTGAGCCATCGGGGAAAACACGCCTAAGAGGAGCGAAGAGGCACCTTCCAGGTCACACGGCCAGTCAGTCCTTCCTCTCTGGGTCCTGAGCTGCTCCCGGCAGGACTTCAGAATCCTCTGCCCCTCACACATGCCTGCCCTGAGCTAAAAGAGAAGCAGAGTTTGCCCCACAAGGCTATTTGCAGTTTTGCTTTTAAATATTAGATTACATGTGATTGTTCTATTTTTCAACATTTGGCAAAGCGGAATTTCCGCGAAAAGGGAAAACACCAAACAACTTTAGAATTGGACCGATAAGAAAAAATTCCCTCCAGGTCTTCTGTTGACAAAAGCATAAACACTAGCTCTGTGTCTTCTTAACCTTCTCAGACGAATGGCAGCTGCTCTGGGTTAGCTCACACTGCTCCGATGCCTGACTACACAGCTGGTTCCGAATCATTCTCAGGGAGTCCTGGTCCACTAGTTCGCAGGAAGTATGATTGTAGACAGGAGCCCAGGGGGCAGAGGGACTCTGGAGTTTGTGCAGAATCTTTTCACTGCTAAAATATATTTCCAAAGAATCTCTAGAGATTCCAAAATGCAAACCAAAGCATTAGAAACATCAAGCCATTATGTGCGTCACCAACTTTGTCCCAAACTGAATGACTCAAGGTCACCTCCCTATTGGCTTCTGCAGGGAGGGCTCTTTCTGAAACAAGTGTGCCAAAGGAAGAACGATGGAAAACACACTTTCATTCGGGAGCGAACTTCAGCAGAAAGAAGAAGAAAGGAAAATAAAAGATACAGGCACTAGAAAGCAAAGTACATAAAAGTTTTAATGAATTAACCTTACAAAAGACAAATGGCAGTAAAACATCGATGAGTTTGGTACAAAACTGTCCTAGGTGGTCAGGACTAACTCTGGTGACGGATGGCAACATGCTGCTGGCACGAGACACAACGGAGCAAGGTGATGCTCCCGGGTCCCAGCTGGGAGCCACGGGTGGCCACTGGCAACGAGACACAGGGTGACAATACGGACTCCACGTGGAGCAACCGAATCAACTTATTCACAAGTACTGTGTGTTTGGATATCAGACTAGCGGATGCATTTGGCGAGCTACCATATTTTCCAGAAAAGAACATGCACCAGAAGATAATATACACCCCCCAGTTTTATTGCCTTAAGAATTTGTGTTTGCTTCACTTCTCCTCTCTGTCAGTTCTGCGAATGCTCTGCTTAGGACACGCTCCATTCTCCTTTTGCTCAGGAGTAAGCACAGTGCGAGTGGCAGAAGGATCTGGGCACACGTCAGACACCAAACAGTTGCCACTGGGTCACAGGAACTAGTCTGCAAAGGCTCTGGAGGACGGGACAGAGCACGCACACGGAGACGAGGGACAAAAGGTGCAGTCGGAAAGTGCGTGGTACCTTCCCCAAAGGAGTGTCCTTGCCACAAAGAGGGCGACTCCTCAGGATGCCATGTTGCTCTGGGAAAGGGACCGCGACATCTCGGTGTTTACAAAGTACGTCTTCAGGTCTCCCTTCCCCTTCACGTTGATGATGCCTCGACAGGTGCATGTATATCCGAGCGTCTGCAGGGCGAGGCTGGTCTCCTCTGTAACCTGTGGGGTGTGTGGACACACGGACAAGTGTTAGCACTGGAGTCAGTGCAGCCCACGCAGGGCCCATGAAAGAGCAGAAAAAGCTGCATGCTTCCTGACCCAGTAATTCCACTCCTGAGAAGTTGATGGAAAGAGAAAGTCATCCACAGAAGAAAAGGTTTTTAAGGACAATAATGTTTAACTCAGTGCTGGGATAGCAAAAAACTGGAGACAACCTAAGCTTTCAAGTACTCGGCGGATTTGAGAAAGTCATGGTGCCACCGTCAGTGGCATCACACATACGGGTGAGCTAGCGTGTAGCCACTTCACCCCCAAAAGAAGAATTAAGCCTGGATCCAGGAACTAGCCACACGAACTTGTGAATTTACATAAGAGACATGGAAAAAAAGATAAATCAAAATGACATTGGAATGCTGGGGTTTAGGGTGATATCCATTGTTGTAGGGGCCATTTCAAGAAATACTGAGTAAAATATTAACAATAGATTTCTTTTTAGCTAGATGGGAGAAAGCACCCTGAGAAGCACAGTCAGCTTCGGCGACGGCTGTGTCGCTAGGTGTCCCGCACAGGTAGTGACCTATGACTAATGGAACGGTGGGGTTTGTGCCGTCGTTGGCAGAGGGGCCTCTAGGCTGGTGGTGAAAGTCTCCTTGTGCACTGCACTGGGGTGATGTGCTCACAGCAGCACCCCGCCTGGGTGACCACACTCAAGCCCCGGGTCACATGGCAGTGGAGTCCCCCGTGCAGAAGCAACGTGTGCTCAGCCACCTGTTGTCCCGGCTGGAGTGGGTGCTGTGTCCTCTTTAGGGGACCAGGCCTGGGGTACACAGGGGCCAAGGCCCTGGCCTGCCTAAGCTCTTCTGCAGGTGTCTCTATAGATGGCGTTCTCCCTGCCAAGTGCACAGCTGTGGTCCAGGAAGGGGATGGCCAGGCCCTGGACCTCCTCGACAGTCCCCAGGAGGGGCCTGGGCCTTGGGCAGGGCGGGAGGGAGGGAGAGAAGTATTTCCTATTGATGCTACCTGAGAATCATGGGAGACAGACAGAGGAGGGATCTCTCTCACTTCCCCAGGGCCCTGGCATGGCTGTCACAGCACATGGGTGACCCCTGGCCCCACAGGCCTGTGGGTCACACACCTAAGCTAGGCACGTTTGGTGCAGTGTAGCAGCTCGGGCACAATGCACCGGTGCTGTGACGCAGGGCTGGCTGTGGTGTAGATGCTGCCTGGGGAGACGGTGCAGTGGCAGGGCTGTGCCCACAGCTCGGTGCTGAGAGGCCTTGAGAGAAAACACTGTGAAAGGGCAGCGGCAGGAACCCACGGAGCCCAAAGACACTGGTTGTTACTGTTCCCATCTGGGGACGCCATCTTGGGGGCTTTCTGCACTGTTCCCCAGGTTTTAGGGAGCATGGTGTTTATAAGGAGCAGCTTTTCCATGACCTAGACATTATATTTTTACTCTCCTGGCTCCTTGAGACCGCTTTTGTGTATACGTGGAAATGAGAGGTCCCTGGAGGAAACTGCCACGGCCACTCTGGCTGTGAGCTCAGGGCATCTCAGCCTGCGACATCCTTGCTTCTGACAGGCAGGAGTCTGCTGTTCTCCATCCCAGGTCAGACAGCACGAAGACAGCCTCAGTGGCATTGCGTGGAGGGTCAGAAGGCCAAATGTCCTAGACACACAAGACAGCAGCTCATCTCCAACCCTGCTCTGTGGGGGACCTGGATCTCCAGGAGGGGCTGCTCTCAGAGACCCCCTCTCTCAAGGTGATTTTGATCCTTACCCAAGGGCTGGAAAACTGGTCGGAGACCTGTAAAGCACCATAAAAACTACTATCCACGTCTGGAATGTGTGGGGGTGTGGGGGGACACAAGTGGAGGGATGACCATGGTTGGGCTTCCTGTCTTCCCCACCGAGTGGACCCAGATGTCCAGGATTGCTGGGCCTCCGGGCACTGACACAGCCGGATGAGGAGGCCAAGTGCTGGACAGCTCCTCCTCTGGATGGTTTGGGGGGGGGGCTCCAGGGATGCTGCATACCGCAGGGCCCCATCCAGGAGTCCCCACCTCTCAGCACCCCAGGGAGGCACTCCCGGCTCACTGGAAGTGGATCTCAGAGCAGAGCCAGCTGCCCCTGCTCCTTCCTCTCTTCTTCCCTTGCTTTCTTCTTTATCTGCCTTCTCTTTGTTGGACTTTTGCTTTCTTTATAGCAACTGTTGGCTGACTAATAATCTGAGTGGAAGAAGGCAAACAAGAAACAATGTTTGGTCGATCCATAAAAATCAAAGCTGTGGTCTAGAAAGGCCACTGGAATAAATCTTCCCATAACAAATGAGGTGGAACAGCTTGGAGAGAGGTGAGTGAACAGAAGCATAACGAAAACTCCATTTTTAATGCCAGGGGAGTGGGTGGCATTCTACACAAGTTAAGAAGGGTGGTGGGACTCTCATAAATTCTACAGGCAAGGTTGTGTGTGGCCTTCTGCCAAGCATAGGGACACCCACCCGCACTCCGGGAAAGCTGGGGTGGGGTAGGTTGTCTGGGCTTGGGGTGTAGGATCCACTTCTCCCGCAAACCTCTGCCAGGTGCCAGGGCTGAGAAGGAACAAGAGAGGAGGAAGCTGCTCCTGTACTTGATGCTCTGGGTTGTTACACTGCTTGGTGCATCTTTGCTAGATCAGAGGGTCCACTAACACAGGTGCCATCGTCTTTATCATACCAGAACCTTGTGTTGTTCTAGGTATCTTCCCCCAAAGAGTTAAAGACACCACGTTACAGCGACCTAGGTACACCCATGTTTCTAGCAACACAATTCATAATGGCTATATCTTGGAAGGAGCCTCTATGTTCATCAACAGATGAGTGGTAAAGCAGACATGGTATTTTGCACACAGTGGAGTACTACTCTGCTCTAAAAAAGACAAACGTGAGTTATCCGTAGGTACGTGGATGCACCGAGACCATAATGTTGAACGAAGTCAACCAGACACACAAGCTCAAATACTGTGTGAGTTCTCTTATAAGAGGTACCTAAACTATAAATAAAGAACACAAGAGAAGAGATAATAGGAAGTAGGGAGATAGATCTGTTTCACTTGGAAAGGGGGTGGAGAGATGGAGGGAGGGAAACGGGATGAACAAAGGAACAAAGATGTGTTATGTGCATGGACCTGCTCTGCACAAGGAGGGGACACATTATGTACTGCACATGTGGGCTAAGCTAAAAAGATGGGGAAAAGAGAGATTATTACTTGTAGGACAAAGAAAGTTACACATAAAAGAAAAAATAATACAGAAACTTATATTTCTGCAGTAAAAAAGGTTTGAGTAAATTCCAAGATTTACCTTTGAAAAATTAGTTTTAACATATGATTATGATTATTATCACTGCGCTCATACTTATTGCTGGTTCCCAGGGGACAGACCAGTAAGACAGTAGAGAAGACTGCGCCACCTGTATTTTGTCCAGGATTCCAGTGCTGTCCATCCTGCTGGCCACATTCACGGTGTTGCCCCAGATGTCATACTGTGGCTTCTGGGCACCAATGACTCCGGCTATCACAGGTCCATGGTTAATTCCTGTGACACAAAAGAGGCGGGTTAGGGAGGCTTGGACCTCAGCAATAGTCTAACAGGAGAGTTTAGAATCCCCCAGCCATTCCTGAGTTACTGAGCAAACATAAGCCTGCCTCCCGGAACTCTAAAGCAAAGCCAAGTCATTCCTCTAAGCTCAGCAGCTCCAAAGTGTACACTGTCTGTTTCTTCCCCACTGGATCTTAATTCCCATTTATATGTCCACACATCACCAGTCTGTAACAGCATGACACTGGTCTTACACCATATGATCATCTTTCTGTGTGGCTACATAACCAATCATAGACAAGAATATATGATATGTTTTTCAAAAGTTTTAGAGTGAATGCCGATTTTGAAACATGCACGCTTTGCATGTTTTGAGGGGATGCACTGGGCTTGATTGGCCATTTGGGTTTTGGGGTTGACACCAATGTTTTGCCCAATGACCAGTGTCACAGCCACGGTAACACAGCACGTTTGACTTCTTAGTGCTCAGGGTTGTTGCAGCAGCCCCGTAAGGCAGGCCTTGCAGCCACCCACTCCGTTATCCGGGTGGGTTCACACAGGGGGATGAGCCACGCAGGCAGGAGGTGGGAGAGGCAGAACACAGCCAGGATGGGCCCTGTGGCCCCCACTCCTGACGACCGGGCCCCGTCCCCGCCCCATGCTCCTGTGCACTCAGCTTCTTCCCCACTGCGGGCTGGCTGCTGCTGATATCCTTCCAGGGAGAGGCGCGTGCGGGGCGGTGATTCCCATCGGCGAGCTGTGTTCTAGTGAGTTCGCCCAATTTCCACTACGGGCAGTGAGCATTCTACTCAGGTCCCCATGTAAAAGCATCTTCCTATGGGTGATGGAAAGATTTTGATGGAACACAAAGTTGGGGGAGGTTTTCACATAAGGAAATTATGGGTATTTAATAACACGCAGCAGGGAAAAGACAGTGGAGGGCAGACAGCTGAGATGGGGGGAGTCCCAGGGGCTTCGCATTTGGAGGGGAGGTGAGGGCCGTCAGGGAGAGGCCAGCTGAGGACATCCTTCCTTTGAGGCAGCACTACATGGGGTCCAGCCCAGCTCTGGAAGGGCTTCCAGGATCTGTTGCTTGAGCTCTGGTCCCCTCTTCCTGCTGGCGTTTCCTTCTCTGCATTCATCAAGGACCAAAGCTTCCTCCACTATGATATGTCAAGGAGACTTCACCAAAAGACCATTGGAGCAACTCAGAAAGTCCCCTCCTTCTGACCCAGCCAGCCCCATGTGGCTAAGGCAAAGTGGATTTGTTGGGAATGTTGGGGCCCATGGTTAATGTGCTGCAGATGACCATAATATTCATGAGGCCCAAAGCAGGCTGTGAAGAGTGAGCCCCACAGCTGGCTGTTCATAGAAGTGAGTCTGGCCAAAGCCCATGCGCTGAGGTCAGAGTAACTCACACCCAAATTCTGTCTCCAGAGCTAAAACCTTTAGACCAAAGGACAATGTTCTAATTACAATCATATGTTTTGTCTATTCTGTTCCTAATTCTAGAATGATTTGCCTTGTCCTTAATGAGCCTTGTTTACATTAATTCCCACAGAAACCACACATCACCTTTACCCCAGTTGATTGCCAATAAAAGTCAGTGCCTGGGACTGGCCAGCGCCTTTGTCAGTTGCACAGGCATTGGTCGTCCTGGCCCCGTTTTCTCTCTCCTAGTTCTGTCTCTTGGTGTATTTTTTTCCTCAGGTCTGTGTTGCACGCTGGGCAGGTGGGGACTGGAACCTGACTGCGGAGCTCTCTAACAATGTGTTACTCCCCCAGATGATCAGGCATCCTGGGCCACTAGTAACAACAGAGGTGACACTGGTTCTGCTGACTTCTGTCTCTTGGAAATGAAATTATAAATCCTTGTTATTGCGAGCTGACACCCGAGGTCAGGGTGTGTATCATTGCAGGGTGGGATGCATGTAAGACGTCATCTGTCATCACGAGCCAAAGCTTCCAAAATAGGATCGATGCCTCGAATTGAAGGGCGGGGGGCTTGGGATCCTCTCCAGCTCAGTGCAGGGGAGGAGGACACTTGTCCCAAGAACCCAGTTTGGACCCACAGACCCACAGCTGTTGTGGGAGTGGCATAAGGAGATCCTGAGATAGATCTCCATCCCACATTTCCTCCTGGGCCTGGGCCTCCTACCATGATGCGCTAGTCTGACAGTGTTGACTAATGGGGTACTTCTGAGAGATCTAGCCCCTGAACCTGACCTCTTCAGTGACTGGCTTTAAGGAGAGTTTCCTCTCCACAGTGGAAACTAACACTCAGACACAGTCCAAACACTGTTCCACAACTTTATAGGTAGATAAGAGGTGCAAAATGCATTCCCTTTGCTTTGGGGGAGTACTCGGTAAAACTCACTTCTGCTTTCTCTGTCACAAGCTTTGACCACCCAGGAGATCACCCAGGGCACAAAGATGCATGCCTGAGATTTCATCCTCTTATCCATGGGCTTTGCTCCTGGTGCTGCAGACTCCTGTTCGGGTAGCAGCTCCAGGGCCAATTACCAATGATCTAATCACTGTGAGCAACAAGGCCATCCACTCAGTACAGGAGAGTGACTGACCTGTGGCTCCGATTAACCAAGTGACTCTACAGCTTGGCATGCAGAAAAGGGTGCAAAGACCGAATACAGCTGTTTTTCGTACCATAACTTCTGGATGGCAAAATCATGCTTCCGTTTTCCTGCTGGGAACTGCCATGTGATGGCGCTCGGTGCAGAGATCTATCAGGGAAGCCTCCCATGAGAGGCAGAGGGTTTGGGGAGGGGGAAGACTCCAGGCAAGGGAAACACTGATTAGCCTTCCTGAGCAGTCTACAGGGCTGATACCGTGCCCATATGCACCCATGCTCTTAGCTGTTCAAAAATTGGTGTAAAGCTGGCACTTGGCAAATACCTGCCAAGGGAAGGGTGTCCATTTGCTAACCTGAATTTGGAAAATATTAGAGTCCAGACCAAGAAAACTGCTCTGGATGTAGGCCATGTAACCATCAAAGACTTGTGCCATGCTTACGCTGAATGAAGTTCAGGGCAGGATTATTTTGGTCCATGTGTTTGACAATGGAAAGGTCATTCTGCCACACTTAGATTTTTCTTCTCAAAAGAGTGCAACGGTTCGGATGTTTCAATGTGTTCAGGAGCGGGCATGGGTTATGTGCAAGCTTGGTCCTATGTGTGGTGATGGACAGGCAGTGGAAACTGTCAGAGGTGGGACTAAGTGTAAGGTCACCAGGTCACTAGGGGTGCTGTCCATGTGGAGATCGATACTGGTTACCACTGAGTTCCCATTAAAGTGGGCAGCTATAAAAGAGTGAGCCTGATTTTCTAACTTGTCTGGCCTCCTGTTTTGCCATACAATCTGTTGCTCTCACACACGGTGCCACCATGATGCCATCTGTCACACTGGTGTAGCCGTAAGCTCAGTGATCTTGCACTTGCAGTCTACATAACTGAGAACTAAGCAAATCTCTTGTCCTGACTTCAGGTATTCTGTTAGAGCAACAGAAACAAAAGGACGAATACAGAGCAGTAGTGTGAAAGTTTGAGGACACCATTTTCCGAGATGTCAACACAGCACGGCGGCTCTTGGGTCAAAGGGATCTGTTTGATGTGGTCAGTGGCTGCCCAGGGTAGCGTCTCACCCTCTAGGCCTGCCTCACCTCTGTGTTTAGCCGAGCCCTGACAAAGCTCACTGTGCACACAGGTGAGGAAGCATAAAGAAAACCCTACTCAGATTCCATGCTGACAACTGGCAGCACACGCAGAGAGAGTATCTCATGTGCTAAATGAGGTGTAAAATAATTCCTGGTTTTAAAATTCAGACCACATATAGAAAATGAAGAAAATAGTTTAAATACCTTCTTTTTTCCAAAAAAGTTGAAATCTTTATGTAAGAGAAACTTAAAAATTATACAGATGGAATTTGACTCAAAAACTATTCTTCTGTGGTCTTCCAGAAGCCAAATGTGTTGCCAGGAAAACCATAAAATTGTCAAAGAAGCTCTTAAAAACCCTGAGTGGTTGCAACTGTGTGCCCACTACAAGACAGCTGTGTGCTAACTTGGTGGCTCAAAACCCACATTTTTTGGAAATAAGAATTTGTGAAAGTAATCATAAAACATGCCAAGAAATCAACTTACATTTTGATAAGGACTTGTCAGAAATCAAAAAGTCTTTTTTTTTCAATGTACACAAAGTGATTATTTTTTATGGTAAAGAAAGCTATTTATTTTTCCCTATGATTGCATAACTCTGAAAAGCGATGGCTGTTTCAGAACCTAGGACACGTTTGCTAATGTTGTTGGTTGTGACCCTGTGAATGTGAGACTGCATTTCAACAATTTTAATATGCACATCCCTAAAATCTGGGGGTATGTTGTGAGGGTGACACGTTCTAGTTTCATGTTATGTCTAGAAAATAACAGAGCAGCTACCAGTGGACAACCTCTGGTAAGTCACTTACTGCTACGCAAACTTTGCCTTGAGGATGAAAGGACAGGACTTTGGCTGGACAGACAGGGGATGCGTGGCTGAAATCCAGCCCACACCACACTTGCTAAACCATGTGCCTTCAGCTCAGGTCCAACCAAAGAGGGAGTTTTCCTAATTTGCAGAAATGTACTTTAGAATCAGGTGGCTTCCCCAAGCCCTGTCATCTGCAGTCCTGTCCTGCTGCCCTAAGATGGCCCTGTAACCGACATCACAGGGTCAGTGATGCATCTCAGGACTTTCTTCCTCTTCCCTTTGCCCCTGCTGGGACCCAGATCTCTCCACACAACGTACCCACTCGCAGTTTGAAGTCGTTGAAGGAGTGCTTGTTGATGGCGTCCAGCTTGGCCACCAGGGCGAAGGCGAACTCCACCATGGTGCCTATGTGCATGTACTGACGCTCAGGCTCCTGCAAGGAAGCAGACACAGGCAGAGGGCGTCAGAGCAGAATGCAGCGGAAACCACCCCTGCTCTCCCGCCTGCACTCCAGGCAGAGGGATGCTGGCACATTCTAAGACGCTTTGTAAGAATCACATCTTGTCTTCGGGAAGCCCTGGGTGGGAGCCTACTGCGGTGGCCAAAGGGATATGAATCTCAGAAGACATTGGCTTGAGTGCGTGTCTGCCTCGGACATCTTCAGGCATGTGGCTCACACGTCAGGTGGCACCGTGGAATCCAGAAGGCACCATCGGACCCAGCTCTGAGGAGGGTTGGCTCCTTCCCCTCCGTTCGCCCTCTTGCCCCTTGCTTGGCCCTTCTCTGCTGGCTCTAACTCCTGGGGTCTAAGCCTCTAGGAGCTGCCTCACCGTTATCTCAGATATCCAGCCATGGGTGACCAGGGGAGCTCCGTGCAGGACCAGAGGGAGGCAGAATAGATCTCCATCCCTGCTCCACAGTGCTCTCTCTCTTTTTTTAATGGTACTGGGGATCAGACTCAGGCTCTTGTGCTTGTGAGGGAGGCAGCGGAACCACTGAGCCAAATCCCCAGCCCTCCACAGTGCTCTTTGACGGCGGCTGGCTTCCATCTCATGGGACAAAGGCCACCCTTCCTGAGTGCAGCACTCTGCTCTCCCTCTGCAGCTCCATGGCTCTATTAATACCTTGCTGCCGCTTGCGCTTTTATGCCTCGAGGCTGAACTATCTCCAAGGTTTTATGTTGAAGTCCTAATCTCAGTACCTCAAAATACAACTACTGTCTATATAAAAACGAATCTTTAGAGAGGTGATTAAATGAGGTCATTAGCATGAGCTGTCATCCAACAGGACCGGTGTCCTAGGAAGAGGACATCAGGACACAGACAAGCACAGAAGGAAGGCCACGTGAAGACATAAGAAGATAGCACCGTCTATAAATCAGGGAGAGAGGACACAGGAGAAACCAACCCTGACCACTTCCAGCCATCAGACTGGGACAGAGTAAACTTCTGCTGTTTAACTGTTCAGTTTGTGATATTTTGTCAGGTAGCTTTTGCACACCAATATAAAGGGGACATTTTTCCCTGAGAATTTTATCAGTCCCTGTGGATAAAAGACTTATGGGGCTGAAGAAGAGAAGTCCAAAGTTTACAGTGGGGATAAGTAAATTTCTATGAATATTCACTATTAATTTATTTTTATTATTCCTACTACTAATTCATAGTTACGGCTAACTTATAACATCCATTATAGTTATTCTTCAAATTTATCTCTTATTAGTTTGTGTTCTGGGCTATGTTTTAAAAAGACTCTCTCCCTCATGCATATGGTTCACAGAATACTTTAACTACTATGTCTGAAGGTTCCCATTCTCCCAGTACCAAATGGCTGGCACACTGCAACACTTGGGAGAGCAATCTCTGTTTCAGAAGGTAAAGTGGGTGGCCCGCCTTTCAGGCTGAGCTGAAACCCAGAGGCGGCCTATCAGGTGCCTGTGGTTGGGGTGAGGACCTCTATTTTGGCCCTGAAGTCAAAGTTTCGGAAGTGTGTCTCATGTTCGACTTTGTGGGGTCCCCAGGGAAAAGACTGCTCTGCTAATTTGTATCTTCACAGTGGAACAAGGTTTCTGGTACACGAGAAGTGCTTGGAGAGCGTCTACTGAGAGACTGCTGTGCGTGAGCCAGGAGAAAGAGGCCAGAACGCAGCAGGAGGAGAAGCGGTGGGAGGTGGGAGCCGGCTGACGCTCACTGGGGAACTCCCATCCAGGAAGGACCCTATGTATCCTCTAAGGTGGGTGAGGCTCCCCAGGAAGGAAAAGAATCGGAAGGGAAGAATGGGGCACATGCCCTCAGCTAGGACAAGGAATGAGCCATTGAGTCAGAAAGGGACACCAGAAACATTTGAAAGAGATGAGGAGAAACAGAATAGGGGCTGCTGTGTACCCCAAGCAATGACTTCTGGGACCAGTGCTGAAACCTGTGGGGTCCCAGAGGAGGCTCCATCAGAGACTGAGAAAGACCTCAGAGACAGAGAGAAGGAACCTAGTGTCCTTGTCCTTGGGAGAAGTGACCTTCTCCATGGCGGTGGAGATGAAACCAATTCTAAGAGGGGTAGAAGAGGGAGACCATGGATATGAACCACTGTTCAAGGTGACAGGGAGGTGGAGGAAGCCCAGGCAGCAGCTAGGGGAAGAGGGCAGTGACACAAGATTGTTCTCCTGCTCCGCACAGTTACTGATGAGCAGAATTGAAGGACAACACACGAGGCAGGGGTCCTCAGCCTGGTGCTGCCGTGCTTGCCTGGGTCAGTCAGTTCCTTCGCTGAGGGCTCATCCTGAGCACCCCAGGGTGATTGGCACCATCCAATGCCTACCTCTAACCATCACAATCCAAACTACCTCCTGATACTGACAAATGTCGCCTGGTTGAAAACCACTCCACTAAATAATACAAATGTGAATGGACGAGAGGAGTTAAGTTTCTCTTTAAGAGAGAAGGATATCTTTCTTTCCTCGGGTGAGTTACGTCATTCCATAAAAAGACAAATAAAGTGCATTTTGTCTTAAATCCTCACCATAAAATTCGAAGAGGGAATTACAAAATTGGGACAATAAAGCAGACGGTCAGCTGGCTGAGGAGGAATTACAGAGTGTCATTTCTTAAGAGACCTGGGTTTTCTGTCACAGCTCAGTGATGTCCTCTGCCACATGACTTAGGGAGAACCCGGGACTGGAGGCTTTTCCTGTCACCTGGAAAACATCTTCTCTTTGGAAGGAAGCACAGACTCTTACATCAACCAGTGGAATCTTGTGTGGCAAAAATTGTAAGTATCCAGTCTGGAAGAAGGATTTATCATGGGAAAAATGATTTGCTTTTTACCAAACCAAGGCATAGCATAAGTCTTGCTCCCTGACAAATGATCTCCCTGTCTTTTTTCATGCAGCAGGTTTATAGTGCAGGTTGACAAGTGACCTCAGCCATAAGAGATTAAAATTCCAAGACTGAGGTTTAAATTCAGTGTCAATAACTCACATGGGCTTAGTAAACCCCAGAATTAAATGATGTTCAGTCTCTGGGAGATCTTAATTCACTTTGAAAAGTCCTCACCACTGAGCTCTTGATAAATATTTGATGGCAGCATGAAGCAGCTATTTCACTCATGGGCCAAATTATTTCTGCCAGATATCTCCAAATATATAATTGACTTCCAGCTACACTGCAAGGCAACTTATTCAGCTCCCTGGAATGGAGCTTGTAAACTGGCTATTTTAGAAGTTTCACCAACAAAGAACATTGCTGACAATACTTGCATGGTTTCTGGGGTTATTTAAATATCCAGGTGACTGATAACAGCTGATGTCATATTTTGTGTTCAAATGAACACAATACTCTTTCCCTTCTTCCCCCATTCACCAAGCACCTGCTGCATGCCCGGTACTGGGAAATTTCTGCTTCCCTGCTCGCTTCTGCAGGGATATGGGGGTCTCAGTTAAGGAGCACCCTGTTTGGGCCTCACAGGATACCTGGCCAACTCCACCCTGAGCTCTCTGAGCGGGACTTGAGGGTCCCAGGCTGAGAGAACAGCTGCATGTTGTGATGCTCCACTCACAGGGGAGAGAGCTCAGGCAAAACTCGGCTCAGCTCCAGGGTCCCAATCATTAGCGGTGTGGCCTTGCCTGAGCCACTTAATTTCTCTGTGCTTCAGTCTCTCCTGTTTAAAATGGGGCAGTAACTATGCATCTCAGTGGGTTGTGGTTGGGATTCAATGAATTGTTCAGACCACATATTCAGCTGCCTCCTAGGCTGTGGGATGTATCTAGTATCTCGTGTGATAGTGTGGAGACACACACTACTCTGATGTGAAAAGCATTCAGAGGATGGAATTGGTGCATGTGCTAGTCAGCTTTCTGTTGCTGTGACAAAACACCTGAGACAAACAGCTAGCTTGAAAGGAAAGGATTCCTTTAGCTCACTGTTTCAGAGGCTTCAGTTCATGTTACCCTGGCCCTGTGACGGTGCAGGGCAACATGGTAGGGGTGCATAGTGTAGGAGGACTGTTTAATTTATGGCAGTCAAGGAGAGAGAGAGGAGACAGAGAGAGAGAGAGAGAGAGAGAGAGAGAGAGAGAGAGGGAGAGAGAGGGAGAGAAGTGGTCCAGGGACTTACGGTTCCCTTCAGGGGTATGGCCCAGTGACCTCATTTCCTCCTGCTGGGTCCCTCTTCTAAAGGTTACACTGCCTCCCAACAATGCCACAGTGAGAGACCAAGCCTTCAACATGCAGACCTGGGGACATGGAAGATCCAGGTGTGGTGGCGCATGCTGCTCATCCCAGCACTCTGGCTGAGGCAGGAAGATTACAAGCTTGAGCCCATCCTGGGCAAATTAATGAATCAGTGAGAACATACGTCAAAAATTTTTTTAAAAGGCCTAAAGATATAGTTCAGTGCAAAGTTCCTGAGTTCAACCCTCCAGTGCTACAAATGAAAATCCAAAGCACAAGAGGGAAGTACCTCAGGGTCCGGTACATTAGGGTCCAGTTTGGCCCTTCCCCTCCAGCCCCATCCATCCTAAGGGATGCTCTGATGAGACCTCAGCATGCAGGAGTATCAGTGAGTGCTGCGAAGAGGGACAGCTCATCTCCTGGCCGTTTTTATACCTCAGAACAGCACAGAGTCCAAGGAAACTGGTCTCTTGTGATGATACATCGTGACCGCTTTGGTGTGTGCACAGAACGCACAGCCTTGAAACCCTGCTTTCATGAGCGAGAGCCCCTCCCTGTCATCTCCTCCTACAGGAAGGGAGCTAGTGCTGGGTGGGGGCAGCCTCAGAACCTACTTCTTCTTCTCTGGTCCACCTGCACTGTGCAGTGGGATTGCTGTCTGTCCTCACTGTTCACGCTCAGGCTGTGCCACCCCGGGAGGACGGATGGGAGCAAGGACCCTAGACAGTGGGCACAGAAATGAACGGCCATAGGACCTGAAGGCTAACTAACCC